TTTGCTGCAAAGACTTTTCGGTGTGGGACTTTTCGGTGCGCGGATATTTCGGTGTACGGACATTTTGATGCATGGACATTCGACGCTATGATTTGCTCGCCGGTATCTCTTTTCCAACGTACGCAGACACGCTTCACATCGTGTTTGTGCGTTGAATTGATAGATATAGTCTCCTCTATACACCAACTCAACTCTCCTACGTCATTCCGCGGTGGTGGCGCGCCGGACGCACTTCCGGTCTGGGGCGGTGGGCAGAAGTCGCCGTGCCAGACATGCATTCCTGTGTTCCTTTGGAAGAAACGAGACAAAAAAACCTGCCTTCTCGTCAAAATGCTGCGTGGGGGCTTTACAAAGAGTGTCTGGGAAGGTTTGAAGATCAGTTTTCATGTGTTTTTGCACCCTCCGTTCGTCCGAGAACGTCGATAGCAGCCGTGAAAAGGGCAAACCTGACGCTGTCGAACTACGATTGCGTGTGCGGGCCTCAATTTGTAGTCGCCAGATGTATTTGCTTTGTTCCAACATGACCGAGAGAAAACCCCCAAGTTGTCCGGACCACCCACGGATTCAGTGCGTCTTCAAATTCACACGGCCGCCTGATCGTTCGAACTTTCGTCTGCTCTTTCAAAGTTGTCTGCTTTTTGTCGTCTGCTCGTTCAAACAAAAGCGGCCCGTAGACCAAACTTTGACCCGGTGATTGCAATAAGAAGTAATTGCAGGCCTCAAAAGACTTAAGTAGGCTCGGTGTAAGCAGTAGATACAAGATGTTGATCATTGGTACCGGTGGCCATCACCGACTTGTTACGCTTTGTCTGTTCCCGCTTCCGATTTTCAGTATCGACGTCGATCATCGCCGCTACCTTCTACACTTTTGCAGCACGAGGGTCGTCGCGACCGAAAATAGCTAGAAGAGTCTCATCATGGTTTTGTACGTCCATTCTGCGGCGGTCATGCAAATACATCGCCGCACGTCAAATTATCTATGCAAAGTTTAGCAGCGTAACGAGCCTTGATGATTTCGCTCAGGCGATTAAAGTGGTAAGACATTGCGATGAGGACGTAGAATCGACAACTCCAACGCGAAAAAGAGTATGCAGACTCACACAGACGCCGACAACGTGACATTCGATTGGTTTGTTGACGCGGGACGCGGTGCTTCTTGCCCGTACTCCATTGCGCGTGCGTTCCAACTGTCGTCTGCTCTTTCAAACTTGGCTGCTTTTTGTCGTCAGTTCGTTCAAACGACAGCGGCTCGTAAACCAAACATTGACCCGGTAATTGCGATAAGAACTAAGTGCAGGCCTCAAAACACTTTTGAAGGTTGGTTGGGGTAAGTCGGCTAAGTGTAAACAGATACAAGAAGTTGTTGATCATTGTTACCAGCGGCCATCACCGACTTGTAATGCCCGATTCTACTTGAGGTTTTCAGTATCGATGTCCACCATCTCAGCTACGGTCCACGCTTTTGCAGTCCGAGCGACGTCGCGACTGAAAATAGCGAGCAGAATCTCGACGTGGGAGTCAGGCTTTAGCGCCCATTCTGCGGCGTCCACGTGAAATGAATCGCCGCAAGTCACATTATTCACGCAAAGTTTTGCCTCGATAGTTTTGCTGAAGCCGCTCAAGTAGTCAGACATTGTTAGGAGGACGTAGAATCAACAATTCCAACGCGAAAAAGAGCACGGGGACTCCCACCGACGCCGACAACAACGCAATTCAATGGTTTGTTTATGGGCGACGGCGGGCTTCTTGCCCACCATCCACGGCGCATGCGCGGCGCCGGTGACGTCCGCTAGGGGCGCTCCGGTTTGTTTGTAAACATGAGTTGGTGTATAAGGTTTTGACTTTATTATTGGTCCTGCGTGTAGGAAACGACCCAAACAGCAAGACGTTTGAAGTTGTTTGTGTATTCAGAACAATTTTGAATATCTTCAAATGCTCCTCCTCCGCGTAATCGCATAGCTCCGATTGTTAATAATAAATTGTGATGACCTCGCACGACAAAAAAAAAACAAAAACAAAAACAAAAAACAATGTAATTATCACTTGTAACTCATTAGGGAATAAAGTAGGCGTGTGCGGGTACAAAATAAGTGTAATCAAATCAAATATCGATTTGAATGAAGTAAACAAGCCGAATTAGGTGAATGCTAAATCTATTTTATTTGGTATCAATTGTTTGCTCATTCTGGTACAAAAAAAAAAAACAGTGACCACAGATCATACACAGAGTATGATCTGTGGTCAACGTCTCCTTCCATGCCGTAATGATGTCGCCGGACGTAAAGAACTGCCTAACAATCGTGCTTATACAGGGCGAGTTTTTTTTTAACGACTAAACATTTTTCTAAAAAAGACGTCAGAGTTACGCAATTGCGGTTTGTGCCTTATCTGTAGTCATCAAATACACCAAATCATTCATTTTTAAAGAGATGTAGTGGACGTGAAGTGGCTCACGGCGTCCTAAACAGTGTTGTACGGAACGGCGTTCCAAGGAACGGCGTTCCTGGAACGCGTTCCTTTTAGGAGGAACGAAGGAACGCCGCCGTTCCATTTTGCATCTCTGGAACTGGAACGGGAACGCGTTACATTTTTACTAGAACGGAAAGAGTAACGGCGTTCCTTTTTTCGCCCAGTGGGGTAATTTTTATTTTATTCCTAACGAAAATTTTGAAAGTACATTTTGAAAGTACAAAAATGTATTTTTACGAAGTGCCGGATCTCGTCAACTTTTTGGCTACTAATCTTATGGATTCTTTTGTGTGGTCATCGCTTGCTAACAGTTTCGAATGCAGAAGAGCTGGTGGACATTGATTCTTTTTTGAGTGCCCGAAACTGCGGTACAAAAAGCAAAACTTTTAGTCCTAGAAAAACACAAAGAAAAAGGGTCGTTTCAAACTCAGCTACTTTCTTTGGTTCCACGAATCCTCATACACCCCAAAATTTAAGGCCGACCTCAGCCATTTCTGAACTTCATAACGAGACCTACAGTTACAACAAAAACACAGGTTGCCAGAAATCGAATGCACCCTTGTATCCCGAACATTGGTCATTTAAAAGATACACACAAAAAAAGTTTTTATTCATTCTCTTGTCCCCCACCTTCAAACTGAACAAGTTCAACGTTAACAAAGAAGTATTTGTAGTTTTCAAGACTGACCTTCCAAAAGCCCCACACTCTCCTTCAGTTGCTCGTCTTGCGACAGCAACATCGAGAAGCAACTCTCGTTTAATTCTAACAAGGGACTTTGTTAAATTGAAGCGTTTGAGGTTGTTGTAAAATGCTCGTGAAATGTGGGGTAAAGGTACATTCGGCTCGTCTGAATCGTCCCCTACAAACATGAATATGGTTAAAAACTGAGATTTTGAACTTAAATATATCAAGAAATAAAACCCTGCTTGCGCTTGTTTTCTTCTCCTGGTGCCTTTCCATCACGACATACAAACTCGTATGTTGCCTATTAATGGGATAGATAAAAAAAACTCTGCTTGATTTAACTAAATATGGTAATCAGCAAAATACAAATGTAACGTATATGCAATGGTACGTTCCATTTATTAAACTGTAACGGGAACGAGTTCCTTTTTCACAGATGGAACTTGTAACGGGAACGCGTTCCAAAAATTAGAAGGAACGAGGAACGAGCTTTCGTTCCTTTTTTCGAGGAACGTGTACAACACTGGTCCTAAAAAGCCTAATTTGGACACGAATCGTGTTACCGCAATCTTTTCGGCCACCGCACTCCTCGCCCCTCCTACAGTGGCGTTCTCACAGCTATGCACATGATTTGTCGCTTTGGCTTCATGGCCACTCACTCACTCAAAATTCGCACAAAAGCAGTTTTGGGGTCAGTTGCGGTGGCCCGATCGCTGGCATGCTTCGGCCGCTTCGGTGGCTAGAACGGCAAGGACATCCTCTCGACGTCATCCTCGCCGCAGCTTTGCTCGTCCTGAGACAACCTTCGTCACGATTAAGGCGGATGTCACGTGCTCTCCACTGGCTGCTCTCAAAGAGTTTGCCCCAGAGTGGGCTTTTTATAACAAAAATGCAGCCAGCAGGCTAAAAATACAAACATTTCATTGTCATTTACGGATATTCTGGATTATATTCAGCCTATTTCTGAACCCGACGGGTATATTTAAAATTTTGTTGAAATGTCCCTTTAAGGTAAATACGCTTCGCGTTCCCATAGGTGGTATTTGTGATCTGCTTTAGTCAGTTTTAAAAATAGATCGCAAATACCTGCAAGGCTCTAAATCATCTGGAGTATACCTTTATCACAATATATTCATTGTTGCGCCACAAATATATTAATTCCTACAATAACAAATCACCACAGTAGCGTCAGTGAAACTACCGCTTAACCATAAGGTTGGCAAAAACATACAGTGGCTCTTTTGGGCGCGTACCATCGACAACAGTATTTCTACTCGTCACCAACAATGCAAAAACAATAACGGTGTGCCGTCAGCGTCAGAAATTATCTCATTAATGCGTTGTGCCAGTTGTCTTATACATACATAATCTGCAGCGCCATTTATATCCGCATGCATATTTTTGGTGCGTAATTTGCGTACTTGGTTCAAAGAAACCGTAAATGCAAACCTCCAGCATTGCAACACTTGATATCTGGGCAATGTTTTTATAGGATGAGGCAATGAGTTTGGTGGTGCAACGGACGTTCGGTGTCTTGGGTTTCACCATGTTTGCGAACGCCATCTTGTGGGCACGACTGGTAGGTATTTTGAAAATCTAACAGCAGGAAGATATTAATTTATATGCAGTATACCGACAACGAGTTCTTCTATACTACTTCTAACCAAACTTAAATGTTGGGTTTGCGTTTTCAGCAGTAAATAACTCGTAAAATCCCTAAATATAAAGTACAACGTAGTATGCGGAAAAACCACTCTTAAAAATTAATGATGATTGAGGGATACCTCTTTCGTTTGGCAGGGTGCCGATATTCCGGTACGACGTCACCAACCAGAGAAGCACAACTATGGCGGCGGTGATGTGAGTTCACGAAACTGACATGGCACATGTTCGCTCCATGTGCTGGAATAACAGCAGACGAAGCTCATCGTGTCACAATTTTTCAAGCCCACGTGACCGCCGCCATAGTTGCGCTCCCATAACTGTGACGTCATCCTGAGATTTCGGCTCCCAGCAATCTTAGCCTTAACTATTAAATATAAGTAAAGCAATGCAAGGAATACAGCGCTTTGGCGTATTCTAGGGAGCTTTCCATGGTCAGTGACATATGCGCCATTTACAATGAAACGCAACCCTAAAATTTGATGTCTCTACTTTATTAAACTTATTTTATTTAGTACCTCTGCTTCTTCCGAACTTTTTTTTTTAATGGGCATAAAAGAACAGTATAGTAAAACATTTCGAACATTTTGTGACGCACTTATTGAAGAAAATAACACCTAAAACAAATACAAGCAATTTTCGTCCTTTAGCGCAATGTAATCAAAAAGCGCAGATGTATGCAAAAAAAAAAAAGAAAAAAAGTGATACTTTAGATTGCGAATGTATTACGTTCCTACGATTATGTCGTAGCCGACAAGCTGTTTGCTAAGATGTTTGCTGCTCTCGACACGACTGAGTATAGCAAATTTACACCGACCACAAGCGAGCAGGGCGTGAAGACCTCCCGGGTCAACTAAACCTGCGGCTTCGATCATAGCCCGAAATCCTCTTTCAGGGGCTTCTGGGAGCGCAGCACCCCGCTAGAGCAATGGCTGGTGGTCCTGTGCATGGCGGTGGTCATCGCCGTCTGCATCATGCTCACCTACACCTTCTACTACGCACGGGAGTACAGCAAGAGTAAGCACCCGTGAACGCGGAAGTTGTTTGGGAAGTTCTATCAGGAAGGAGACAGTCATTATTACTGCCTCGAAATATTAAAAAAAAAGACGAATATAGTCACCGGCAAGGTGAGGATTCCAAGGAGGAGCTTCAGTGGTCTTGCCTCCAGCGCGAGCCTGCTACCTTCGATAACGCTTAGAAGTTTCAGGCACCTCGAACTCGAGCGTGTTGGAGGCCGGGCGTTTGAAAGACGCGCCCATCCGTTCTCATTCTATCAGGGACTATAAACCGTTTTCGTGTGACGGTTGTCACGTTGAAATATGTAATTCGGTTGGGCGAAAAAAAAAAAAACGAAAAAACAAACAAACTAGAGTGAATAGTTTCATAACTACAGCATTGTAAACTAACTCTTTTTAAGGAAATTTAGGCGACTCTCAAAGTTCGGTTTCTCAACATATCGCGCTGCAATTTGCTACAGAGGTGCAAGCATGTGGTGGAAGTTTACACTGAAAAAAAAAGAAAGAAAGATTGAACCTCGTGTAAAAGAATAAGAATAAGTTCTGTTCTGGGCAATCTACGCCGCCACTTTGCAGACGATTCACGCGTAGTGAGACGTGATGCCGACAGAGGGCGCACGCCGCGTCGAGGGAGCTTCGGCCGATTCGGGTTCTTTTGCTCGATTGTCTGCGATCATAACCCGAATGGGCCGGCGTTCCCTTGAATCGGGATGCGTCATCTATCGGCAGCACTCCTCACTACGCGTGCATCGTCCGCGAAGTGGCGGCGTAGATTGCCCCAAAACATGTTTCTTTTTTTCTTTTGAAGAAGGTTTTGTTTTTTTATTCTTTCACTGTAAACTTTCATCACCCGCTTGCAGCTCCGTAGTAAACCGCAGCGCGATACGTTGAGAAACCGATTTTTGCGGCCGCCTAAAGTGTCTTAATAGCGTTAGATTACTTGTTGTAGAAAAAAGAAAGTATAGCTAAGAGAAAAGTATCACTATTGGCGCGAACCCATTGAATTCTAGCTGCAGCTACGTCAAAATTCACCATGGCGGCCGCCACGAAGAAACGGTCTGTAGTATTTTTGGTGACCCCTTCTCAAGTGCCGGGGACTTGCAAGCTGGTTCACTGTATTACTCTGGTGGCCCGAACTATTAGCGATGTGCGCAGCCAAAAGCGTCGCTGTGGTCAGCTTTCCACGATTGGCCAAACCATGGGCATATGAGCACTGTCAGATTGCCAATTTTGACGGTGTTAGTTTCGGATTGCGATGGCTCCTAGCTTCTACTTTGCTTTTTAAACACACCATCGAAATCGTCGTCGCACCCGATGGTAAGTAGCCAGGATAACAACTGGTGACATCACGGCGAGGCAAATCCCAGTTGTGACGTCACGGAGGGAAACCATAAGAGGGCGCCACCGAAACATCTCGGCGCTAATAGAGCCACCAAATAGACTACGCTTCGAGTATCGGCACCCGACTTTCCGGGCATTGCTAATGGGTGCTGCCATTTTGGTACTTAGCGCAGAGTGAAGCTCTATTTGCAATTGTTAGAATTACTAAACCTGAATTCCCGAGCTTTAGACGCAGCATCAGGAAGCTCGAGCGATATCGTTTTCATCTGTCTTGGACTGCTTTAACGACACCAAAGAATAAACAAAAAAAGTTTCCTGCGATTTTAGACGACGCTTCGGACAGTCATGTGCACGTTACTCACATCGGCAAACCTCACATCGCTGCCTCAAGCATGGTCGGCTCCCAATGTTCTACACCTGGGTGGTCCTGGCCCTCACCATTATATCTGAATTGCTATTAGCAGCGAGATCTTTTGTTGATGCCCTCCAAAAGTTCCCTCTCGTGACGTCATTACCTTGCGCACAACAAGTTTGATGGTGTTTGTAATGAACATGGTGGAAGCTTGAAGTCACAGCGCTCTGAAACCAGCACTGCCAGCACCGTCAAAATTAAAGTTCTTACACTACTATTATTTCCTGCGATGAGAAATCCTTTGCCCGACGTCATTGTCAGTATTCGGGTAATCGTGGAAGCCCGAATACAGCGAGGCTTTCGATCGCGCACGTCGCCAATAGAGAAAGGCTCGACTATAAGAAGCAAGGTAATAGACGGATCTCACCAAGCGTTTCACGCATGCGTGACGCCGTCATGACTTTAGCTCTCAAGGAGGCAGGCGACAGTGCACGAAACGGCTCGTGCCGTTATGTGCTCTGCCCCGGCAGAGCTCCAGCGAGGTTGTCCCACGAGCAGAAAGTCTAATGTTCCTTCGATGCATTACGACAGCGGTGGCGTAACGAAACTTGGTGGTGAGATCGGTCTATTGTCGCACTTGTTTTGGTTTCTGAACGTGTCAAAATGCCTATCCCATGCTAATGCGACTGCCACATCGGTCTTCTTTGGTCATTTAAAAGAGCGATGCAATAATTTTTCTACTTTCAGTAAATACCGATTAGAATTATTCCTCGACATTTACGACCTATGAAACACAGGTGTCTTTTCTTCTCTACGCAGCGGCAGTCTCAGAAAAAAGTCGAGAAAAACGAATACCATTTATTCTCTCAACTCGCAGCCAAAAAAAAAAAAAAAAAAAGCGGCCACGCGATTTGCAGCCGATTATATGCCGTCAATGTTTTCAACATAGCCACGCGCTGGGGTTGGCAGAGCACAGGGCGCGCGCTGAGTTCCAGGCATTGTTAAGGTTCGGCTATTCCCGTCATCCGAGTGATTAGGCACGAGCCACTACCCGAACGCTTGTCGAATTGTCGAAGAATTGATTATCACGAGCCAAAATCGAACGCAGACTTTGTGTCCACTGTATGGGCGGTCTTTAAATATCGCCACAGCGTGAATCGCAAAGCTTGGCGACGCGCTCCTGGGAATCGCATTGTTGTCTTTGTTCCCGCAGCTCCCTCATCAAATTTTGCGAAGATGAAACTGAAAGAAAATGTTAATTTTCTTTCAGTTTCGTCCTTGTGTTTTTTTTCGTCCTTGTGTATTTTTTGCGCGCTGTTTATTTTCGTTCTTGGAGTTGCACAGCGACGAATACGCATCTTGGTAAGTGGCGTTGAGTTCGAGTATTCTTGGGTCCTCCTAGTGCCAGTAAGCTAATGTAAAGCGAGAAACGTTCATATCCCAATATCGTTGCATAGCCCCTTTAAACGCAGAGAGGCACAGGCATCATTTACTGTTTCTATCACTTATTCGTTTCCATCCGTGAAAAATGGATTAACGTGATGCTTAGATGTGTATACATATTCAATTTCATATCTGAGAGAGGTCTATGATTTTTCTTTCAGCCGAACGACTGAAGCAGGTGGAAATCGAATATTACGAGTGTGGATCAGCCATATGCAACAACGCAGGTAACCGATACTTTTTTTTTTTTATACTTTTAAGTAGAAAAAAAAGCAGTCATGTTAAGATAAATGAAACCGATTTGTTTTTTAAACATTATAGTAAACTTATTGAAACAATGATTTTTAGCAATAAATCCCGATGATGTGGGAAATGTATAAGTAATAATGAGACCGACTGCAAGCGCAAGTGGGGAGCCGAGCTTAAATACGGGTTTACACCCAATTCCAAACAACTGCACAACATGACATGCCGTCGTCTAATTTCACCCCTGTTGCCGGGCGAGTCACCTCGCCAATGCACAGAATGAGAGAGGTAAATATAAAGTAATATCAAAGACAATGGCGATTATATGTATCCAGATTGGACGAGCTAGAGCTCGCCTTGTGGTGTGTTGAGATTTCCTTGATGCAACGGACGCCTCAACATATCCCCAAGATTCCAGGATACTCGCCCTCAACAAAGTACTGTAAACAATATTATTTCAGCTGAACAATCGCAAAACATTGCTATATTACCCGAAAGAAAAATGAAGGTCACTAATATGATATTATTTAAAACTAATTTGAATTTCAAGAACGTGTACACCAACGCGCGGCTCTGACGTCATAGGACACTGCGGTGGCGCTGCTGTCGGCGCGGCACATGCGCAGACGCTTTCCCTACGGCGAATGTGGTCTCGGTCCACGCATCTGTCTGTCTATGCTGGAAAAAGCGATGAAGAAACTTCATCGTGACGTCGCCGGTGGGAGGAGCCTAATCTCAATCGGCGGCGAACTCAACTGGCAGGGAACTTCATCGCGGCGCGTTGATGACGTCGACGGAGAGTGGCGATTGAGTTGAAACTTCATCGGGGTTTGTCCCCAAAATATGTCCCTAGAGGGAAATGCGCAACGCCGCATCGAAGGGTCTTGTGGGAGCAGCATTTTTAACTTCTGAAAATGTATAATGCGGTACAATCTAAATATAATTACCGGTGTCAAGTCTAGGTCGCATGAATCATGTCTTTTTACTTAAGTGAAACAATTTAGATGATCGCAATGCGTGAGCTGCATCGCGATCGTGATGAATCGTCATGGCCGACGGTGGATGTCGCACGTAAAGTGCTCGTGTGTCTGTACGAAGATTTGCCTCACTTTTGGAATTTTTGCTGTCAAGTCGGACTTTTTCACGTCGCGATTACCACTCGGCAGTCTGGTGGAGGACGTGAACCAAGTGTCCTCGCTGAACTCGAGGAGGAGGACAGAATCTTGGCCCATATGAGAATGGTTCCTCGCTAAGACACGGAAGAAGGCGCATGATTTCGAAGGCGGATGCGCCTCGTCCGTCGCCACACGGCATCTCGGCTGCAGTGTCGGTAAGTAAGTGCATGGCATCTCAATGGGCGATTTTAGCGTACCGTTGCCGTGCGCAGCGAAATTGCTACAGGGAGCTCGCGCTGTAACTTCGAAGCATGCTTTTCAGCGCTCTTAAAGCCTTACCAGCCAGTCGCACCGTGGCCACCGCAGAACACGGTAACGGTCTCCTAAAACTTGCTACTTGTAGTAAACAGACACTGTGTTGTTTTTGGTCTTATTGACTTTGCACGAGTGTGCTGTCTCGTGATGTTTCTTTGAAAGCTCGGATCGTAGCGCTCCAGCTGACGAGTTAATTTCTCTAGAGCTTTTCATGAGGCACTCCGATACCTGAATTCTAAAGTGTAGGCAATGGGCATTACATCAACGCGGAACCAGAAAGGCTGCCAATTTGTTGTGCGTTAACTTGTGTTTGATTTAATGATGCAGGACTCATCTGCTGTGGCCAAAGGTGCTAGTGAGGACCCAGCACAGATGGCAGCTCCACCACCACCAAATGGTAGGTACAAAAAACAGTCTGGATTCATCTCCGTAATACGTAGTTTGCGCCTGTGTCAGGACATGTATTATGCATGAGTGCCGTTGGTAGCCTCATGCTGGTGGCCATTGATGTTGTGGGGTTGCAGCTTTGCTACACTGTGATCATGGTGAACTGCGCTGGCTCCAGTGGCCCAAAGTGACAGCTTTTGCACCCATCTCAGCAATTGCACAAAAATGTGAACATGACCTGCACTGTGCATAACTATGTAGAAGATGCTGTCATTAACATATTGTGCCTGGTCGGTAGCTCCCAAGGTGACTGTAGGTCCAGCCGTGTTGATGTTTCTAGCAAGGTGACACCTCAGCAAGACTTACAAAAACTTAAGTGTACACATGGTGCAGAGACAATCCACACATGGTTACTTGAGTTTTGTGTCGGGCAAGACACAGATCCAGCTATGAGACTGTGTCAGGAAAAAGACGGTGACTCCGGTCCTGTTTCCCAACAGCTACCTGCTTCCACCAAACATTCCCGGCAGCACCACATCTACCCACTGCCCTGAAATTGACAAGGGAATGACACTAAGACAAAACTGGCTCACGAATTCCAAAACCGGTGTCTGCTATTTATATAAAAGGTCCACTTCTAAAAATATTTGCAGCAAAGGGCTGTGGAAGCAGAACGCACCTGGCTGGGCATTGTCTGTCGAACTCAGCAAAATCATCGGCGTGCAGTTTTGTATACTTCTCTTCATTTTTTGCACTCAGGTATTCACGTCCTCCACCTTTCGCTAGATATCACAATCTGTCACAGTTGAGAGTAAGTAGCAGATGGTTCTCGCCACTACACAGAGCAATATTTTCTGCGTACTGAACTGGACAAACACGGGCAAACTTTGTCATCATCACTTGACGGTTTATACTTCTGCCTAGGCTTAGCCCAAGTGCCTGCACTAGCACATATTTTCCCGCACGTCTCCGAGCAAGCGCGCCCGTGGCCGAATGGTTCTCGTACTTGGTTCCCACACAAAGGGCCAAGGTTCGATTTCTGGCCGCGCATGCACATTTTTGTTAATGTCCCGCACATCCACCAAAATTTCACGAATGACAGATGGTCAGGTGACGAATGAACAGAAACTAAACGTTTAATTTGGCAAACTTGTGCCGAAAACAAAAATACAAAGAGGTAGCATCACAGGCATCGAAGGTCGGCGGAGTGGCACGATCGAGCGCAAGAGCGAGACTCTCTCTGTATCGCCACGCAGAGCCCCTCATGTATATGCGTGGACTTCTGAATCAATCGGCATAGAAAGTTCGGAGCATAGAACATTCTGACTTTGAACAAGCAATGGGATTCTTGAATTAAACCAGAATGCAACATTTACAGAAATAACAAAAAAGTGCATGTGCGGCCAGGCATCATGCCTCAGCCCTTTGTGTGCAAGCTAAGCACAATAACCATTCGGCCACGGGCAAGCTTGCTCGGAGACGTGCATGGCAATATGAGCAGCCTCTGCCATTAACCACATCTGACATGTACCAAGTGGTTGTCACCAACACGGTGCCCTTGGAAGTACTCAAAGGTCTTGTCTTTTATACTGACATGACATTACCTGCAAACCATGTATGCATGCTACTGAAACTGTGTCATGTCAGCTGTGCACCAGTCATCAGGTAGAGCTGCAGCGGAAAAAGATAAGCACAAGCGACCAACGACCGGAGCAGCAAAATCGCGACACACGGTGGTGGCAAGCATTGTTTGGAGAACCGTCGAAAGAAAACCTGTGTCATATGGCACTAATGAATTATTCCAGGCCAAGTTTCTTCGTCCTTGCTTTATTGAGTTACACCCAGAGCAGCTTGGGCTCACAGTCTTTGTTGTTTGCTCAATGCAATGCGGAAGAGCTGGACTTCCACAACACCAAAAACATTGACGGGAACAACAGTTAACTTGTCATTGGGAATCAGTTATGACAGACAGTTATAGCATAAAGGAAAGTGAATGCAGGACTCTTCTGTTTTCGCTCCTTTTCATTTTCGGACCTTTGTTGTGTTTCGAAGTGAGTGATTTCCAACTTTTCGCTTTCCATTTTTCATGTGATGGACAGAGCAGGCCTGTCTGTTGCAAAGTAATTGGATCATGCTAGGTGCACATTGCTCAAGGCTGCTTGCTTCATAGGTTGCGTGTTGTACTGGAAGACCCACAGCATGAGCTTGCTGGTCTGAGCAGTTCCTTGGTTAGGGAGGTGCCCGCATAAACAAAATGCCTTACAGGAGTCTCGCATTCTTGATATTTCCAGCACTGCATAAGAGTTCTAAAAGAAGATAAAAGCAGTGGTATGCCATACACTACTGCTCACCACACCCCTGGGATTCTCTTGTTCTATGCAATTTCTGTAACATAGTCTTTAAAAATGCTTGTTTTTATAAACATTCACCCTTTTCGTGTACTTTGTTTGCAGGCTGTGGAGGGACAAGCAGCTGCAGATAGCCAGCAGTCATCTTCACTGACCACACTCGTGCTGCCCCTCATGGAGGTGCAGAATTTCCATGCACAATAAAACATGCTCCCTAGGCACCATTTTGCGTCTGTCATGATTTCAGTATAGCATGGAAAAAAGGTTTGCAGCACTACATTGGTCATACCCGACAAAATTGTCATACATCGAATACAAATTTTGGGTCAGGAAATCTCGGTGCAATTGTTTATGTGCCGGGACTCGTATCTCGACTGCAGATGTCGATGTATATTCCATATACAGGGAACCAGAAATTTCACAATTAACGGTGACACGGCGGTGCAAGTTCCATCGTCCAGATACCAGCAACCACAGTTAATTCACCTTTTCTTCCTCTATGCTTGGAACAATATACTGTTAGAGCCAGAATGCTTATGCAGTCAATGGGAAACAAGATGCCACCCATGAGGAGGCCCTCTTTTATTCTCTATTCTAATGCCTCGACGTTTCGCTTGTGCGGTTTGCATTTTTGCAAGGTTACCCTGCCAAAAACATTGTGTTAAAAAGCTTTTTCAGAAACATCAACTTATTACAAACTTCCATTTTTAGGTGCTTGAACCGTCTTTTAGGTAAACCACTCTGCAGCCAAAGGGACTTACCGTGTCTACTTGATTTGGCAAGTTACAAAGTATGACAAAACATTGCAAGCGGATACACACAAGTATATTTCGCAGATGTGACGAGAGACAAAGCTCGTAGTAGCCTCAACAGCTGCCAGGCTTCAAGTTTGAGCAGGGAGACCCTGGTAGGCAGCACATACTTGCAGAGGTGGCCACCTCTCAGATTTTCAGCACTGCACAGCGTGTCCTCTGCTGTCAAAGCTTACACCGTCCTCGAGATCGGACTCTTGGGGCTCAAGGGAGAGGCCCCAAAATAGAGCTATACAAGCCCGCATTGTGCAGAAAGTCAAATGATGTTGCTGTGCCTAGCACCTTTGCAACCACCGGAACCTGCTTTTCAGCATCCTATTCACTGCTCTACGACAGAATCCTAAGCAATGCTTTTTGTTAAGCTTGGCCTGAGAACAGCAGAGCATCCATTGGGGTTGCGAGGAATTGGTGTGCAAGCATGGCTTCAGGGTTTTGTCGCTGTCACCTGCACACAACAGTGAGGCGGTATCTGACATGAATGTTTCATAACCTTTTCAGTTGTCCAAAAGCACATCAAGACTAGATAGAAATTCTATATGCTAATGCAGCCTCTACTTGGAGATAGTAGTTGCATAGCATCCCAAAAAGGCTGAAAATGTAATAACAAAAAAGTTGGAAAAAAAAGTGGAGATATTCCACTTGTCTTGCACAATACCCAAAATTATGCCTTCAGAGCAAAGAGGTGTCAATTGAGTTTATAATCTCTTTATTTTCCTTTATATACAAAGGTGGGAGATGGGGCATATAATGTCAAACGTCAAGCTGCATGGCTTGCAGCTTGACGAGGCGCCCTACCCGGTGTGGCAGAAAAGCAGCAGAAACGTTTCAGACAACACAAGCAAAGAACAAGATACTGTACCAGTTTGAACCTGCAATCGTAAAATGAAAACGTACACAACGTGCTGCAGCAGAACAATTTCCAGATGTTGAGGCCCGAGACATTTGGATGATACACATGCAATCACGAGTAAGCTTGAATCCGTGCGACTATCTCACACGACACTCATCACGGCGAACGAGGCACCCGTTTTCTACCGAGAGCTCTCGTGCAAGCGCATTGAGAAAATGTGTATTGAGCACTTATCGACAACACCGCTGAATTCGCATCGCTGAACTTCTTGGTCGTCGTCTTTCCGTCTTCACTTGGCGCGCGAAGCCCACCCACCTTCAGGCCCGGGTTATCGATTATCGCCTCTGTAGCATCCAAAGAATGCGACTCGCAGCACACCGACGCACGGTGACGTCTTCGTCGCAGCAAAATGTGCCGCCAGCAACGCTCAAAGAGAGAGCACTTGCTGCTCGGCGGTCACCATATGGGGCCCCTCGCGACGCCGCCAAAGCTTCCACGGCAAATGTCAGCACCAGCGAGTGTCGGGCAGTATTCCCCGATTACGTCCCTCACGAACCTTGAACGGCGAACACATAAAAACGTAGCGATAGTCCGCTTTGGCCCGCCCCGCCCGCGAGCTTGAACGTCGCCATCTTCATTGACTTTGGCAACTTTTGCTGCCCAACTACTACAAAGTTATCTCCATCGCCAAACTCCATCGTGACGACATTTTGACGTCACCGCGAACTTCATTATTTCACCAGCATCGCTCGAACTCCATCGGAATCCGTAGGGAAAGACTCAATCGCAACGTCACATCACGTGACCAAAAGGGCAGCCAATCAGCGACCGATTGAGTTAACTTCATCGTTGAGTTTGCGATCTAGCATAGACAGACTGAACTAAAGTTTTATTGTCTTCATAAAAAAAGAAAGAAAAAACTTATTCCTCAGAAGAAAAAAAAAATAGAAATAAAAAATATCCCACAAGCTGGCCCGTAGTGGGAATAAGGTGCACGACATTGCAGACTTTAAAATCCAAATCCAAAAAAAGCAACAAAAAAAAACTAGACTTTTATTAATATTATTATTATTTTTTAGAGAACCTCCTAAAATAGTGTGCCGTACCGGCTGTAGTCACATCTTTTGAATTTTCGAATTACTTGTTTTTCGTGTGTGTGTGTGTTTTCACAAGGACGACATGCCGCACTTTTATATGCACAACGGTTGTAGTTGGTGTTATACGAAAATAATTGTTCTTGAAGAGAGAACTAGCTCGGTAAAAACCATGAGCGAAAATGGCAACGCTTGATGTAACACGGACGTTAAGCCCAAAATTTGTCTAGTTTGAGAAACGTTTTTTTTAAATTATAAGATCCCTGCAAAACGTATTCGACATATTCTTCGGGATAGTAACCGACATTAGTGAGATTTAGCCGGGCTTCCTTTCTGAACATATTTAACATGTTTCCGTGAGCTTCGTTCTTATACTGTTTGATGTTAGTTATTATACCCGCAATTCTGGCCGCCGTTTCAGCAGAGTGAAAAGTCCGGGTGTTCATCCAAGCTGGGACCAATTCCAGATGTCTCACTGATCGATGCAGTCTCCTTCGCGTGATAATGAGCTTTCAAAAAGGCTTTTTATGGTCGGTGAAAGATGTTCCGCTTCCACGCGAGTTTCCCACCTTTGATACACTTCGGTTGCAGGATATAAACATCTCCAACTTTCTTCGGCATCAACGCCTTGCGCCCTCTCTCGGCAATTCTGTGCTTAATGCACTAAAATTGGAATTTTGTCTGAACAACGACAATCATCGCAACGTTCCTCGGAAATATTTTAGATGACAGTCATAAACTATCAAGAAGGAGCAATTAAAATTTAGAACGCGTATAGGTTTTATTTCATGGCTCTATACACTTTTTCTGCAGCATTGAAAAAAAATTCTATAGGCCGCATTCTCAAACTTATTAATTTCTCCTTTGCTTGACAAAAGATCGTAGTGTTCCTTGAGAACTACTATTGCCTGGGCATCATGGAACACAATTAATCAAGTAGACTTTTGATATTTAATTAAATACTGCTTATTTCAGGACATGGCACTTTGGAAGCCGATCACTGAGATCTACGGTCTACGAACGACGAGGCTGGAAATATGTCTAAACCTAAAACGATAGTCTATACGCTGTGGCACTGAACATAGCGAAACGTCATGCCCGAAGTAACGGCAAAGACTTTTTTTGTTTAACGTAATTTATACCTCGCCATTCACTATAGAACTTAGCGCTCTTTCAAGTGCTTTGCAGGAGCAAAGACGCTCCTCATTTCTTAGAGTGTCAGCGACAATAGCTATCAAGCGCCTACATCCGGACGACAGGGTTAGGCAGCATCGCGATACATCGCTTTGTATCGCGATAGTATTTCAGAAATAGTTTAAGTATTTATATTTATGTATCGCGATACAATTGTTCAATCAGTATCTGTATTTTAGTGTCGGAATAAATGTTTGGTGTATTCCTTGTATCGCGATACAATCCCGGACCAATGTATCTCGTTACAATGTTCGAGAAATCAGTGACCTGCTAGCGAAAGCTCAAGAGATTGTTTCCTTTCTTCTTTTGTACCGTAAATAGGTATTTGAGACTTTGTTATCATGCAGACCAAGGTTTGTTTCGAACATTATGGCCCCGACATTGGTGACTCCCTTCCCCCTGTTTCGTACATAACATATGTCTTCGGGGGTGCTTCAGTTGGGCAACTATTTTTTCCAGGATTAAAACGTTGAAGGCACTGCGGCTACGAGCCTTATAACTGTACATTGCACCGAATCGATTGGTTCTTACAGCTTTATGTTAAAAGAAAAATTGGCAATCCTACGCGAGAATAATTTCGGGCTGAAGAACGTCCAAGTTCAACTTCAATAGTTTCCGTCCGGTTGGTATGAGTTTCCTTTTTCAACAAAGGAGAGCTTTTTCGTCTTAAAAGGACACAGCCTGTCAACGAAGCCTACTTATTAACGCCTCCAAGCGAGGTCTTCATACACCTAGGAAACCGTAAAAAAAATATTTGCATGTTTTAAGAATTTACTACTGTGAAACCGGTCTTTCTTCGTTTTAATATGATCCCTTTGACACCTGTGGGACGCTTAATCTCGTTCGCTGACGTGACTATTTGCCCAAATCGGCAGTGGCTGACCGACGAGATATTTAGAAAGCTACTTTTCCTCAAATGAAGTCAAATGTATCAGCAAAGTAGCATGTTTACTTTTATATTGCTTTCATAGGAAACGATAAAATATGTAACAAAATGTTTTATTTTTCTTTACAAATAGTAATTTTTGCGGGTAATAGAAGAGTGGACATCACAGAAAGCCCTTTAAAGAAAAATGTATGTGAGTGCCATTGCCCCGGCAAAATGTATTCCTGTATTTGAATTTCCAAATACTTTTCTATTTTTCAAATGTATTTCAGTACGTGCGACGATACTTTTGCGCGGATGTATTTCAGTATCAGTATTTTATCTGTCTTCGTCATGTATCCCTGTGTTTGTGTTTTTAAGCACATTTAAGAGCATCTCTGACCAACCGTGCCGGACGACACGAGCTATCATGCACCTCTACATTCGTACGTGCATGTGCGCGTGCAGTGATTGAGCTGAAGGAAACCCTGAACTTCGAGATGAGCCCGTGCAAGAACTTCTACGAGTACGTGTGCAGCCTCTGGCCCAGTCGCTACCCAATGCCCGACGACGCGGGGGTCTACTCGGCCAGGGACGACGTTCGAGAGCGGCAGCGGAAGAAACTCATCCGTGAGTCGAGTTGCCTTTTTGTCCTATTCCAAGAAGGCACGCGGAGTACCGTGTAAGGAATATGCGGGAGATGAGAGCATGCTATTTTCGGGTATTGACCGAGCTCGAGGTGTCAGTCACGCGTCTTTCGGTGAGAGGAGCAAACTTCGCTCCATTTTCTTACCGTATTTAAGGACACTGTCTACCTCAGCCTGATACTCAGAAATAGCTGTACAAGCACGAGCTGAAAGCTCGGGAAAGCGATTATGGGCGACCTGATCGACCAAAAGTGTCGCTGTAGTCGGCTTTCCGCGATTGGACAAACCCGCACTATAACGTGTTTTGAGAAACTATACGACCCCCCAAACACACACACACAACATTTTTTTTTTTGCGAAATTAATCTAGGTATTGCCGAACACCCATTCCTCTGCCAGATGTACCACTGTTTTCCAATCCGATCTCAAAGCTTCAGAATTCAGAGTTACCTTAATCAAAAGCTATAAGTGATTTTCTACAAATTTCAATGGGGAAATTGCGGCCGACGTTGCTGTCGAACCAATTACCGGAAACACTGTGTAAACAGGCCCCATTTTCCCATTGGAATATTCTGTAAATCACTTATCTTTTGTATGATACAAAGCTTATTTGTAGATTTTTTTGTTAATTTGTACGGGCCGCTGTTTTGTTTGGGCGGAAAATGAGCGGTCGGCAATGCATATTGCCGAATAGCTTATTTGTGCAAAAAGAAAAAATAAAAATAAAAACATTTTTTGGGGGACTCGTGAAGGGGGGGGGGGGGGGGGGGGGGAAGAGGGGGGGGGGGCGTACGGTGTACTCGCGGATGATGTGCTGTGTCTACGCTGTCAAAGCTATGGGCGCATGGGCTCTCGAGCAGCTTGAGCGCAGATCAAAGCTGTGAACGAGCACTTTTCAGTTCTTCTGAAATGCCTCAGAAAATCGTGCATGAGTATAATTCTGCTTTCAATGACGGAAATGACAGCAATGTCAGTCTGTCAACCTCGACGGTGTTGGTTGAAGGACGCGATGACTTCGAGCTTTTAAGCTTCCAGTGTGCTTTTTACACACACCATCAAACCTGCCGTTCCCAACTCATGATAAAATGTCTTGATCATATCCCTTGACTTCAAAGAAAGAAACACCTTGGTCGTGGCGTTACTAATATAAACCAAAAGAAGGGAAAAAAAATCGCACAGAACGGGAGCTAGCTCCAAAAGCGATCAGCTCGACCTGCTGGAGTCATTTGTGGTGAGGAGTGCTTCGTCCTCTTTTGCAGGATGGTACCGTCCGTGTCACCTCATGACCGATTGGGAAAGAGATCGAACTATAGGTTGCGCTTTATCTCGAGTTCGTTGTCCCCACAACCCGATGTTTACCAGCACAGCACAAAAAAGAAATTGACGCTCACCTACCGCGGTCTGGGCACGAGCTCCTCGCTCTGACCAGTGCTTTAGTCGCACGAGGAACGGTCTTCGAATCGACATCTTCGATTTCTCGGATGAAAAACAAACAAGAAAATACGGTTTGTTGTCCCCACAGATGAAGCGTACAGCTAAGGGCGTCACTGTTCGATCCCCTCCCCAATACCAAACAGTAAACAAACAAAAGCCTGTGCCCTCATTAGAAAAATATTGTTAGCGCCGTCGCTAGTTGGATCCATTCTTTGAAGTTTAATTCGGCCCTTAAATGTTGGGGCGTTTTGGTCGACCATCCAACTTGCTCTGGACAAAACTAAAGTATTATTTTTAGCAGTGCTTTTGTTTCTGGTTTTATTTGTATTTCTTTACTCTTACTGGTAGTCGTAGGGGATCACATGCAGTGTACATCAAAAATTGACCATTAAGTAAAAGGTTTACTTTCTATTTACTTTAAACCCCAGGAACTGCGTGCTGAACTTCGTGATTTCTTATATCGACCATTTTCTTTTTTTCGCAGCTCCTCTTATCAAAGGCCAGCTGGAAGACCAGAGATTCACCGATGAGCGCTCAGCCGTGCACCTCTTCCAAAGCTGCAACAACATCCGTATGTAGCCGCGCGAGTATTTTTAATTAGTTGAACGTTAATGATTCTCCGCGAGTAGGATGCAGTCCAGAGGGCTTTACACACAATCGATTTTTGTTGTAGTTTAGATTGTGTTTTACGCGAGAAAGCTTAGCTGTCACTGGATCTTTTATGTTTGCTTCGGTTTTTACATAAGCTCAGTTACCCTTGACCACTTCTAAGCGCGTGAGCGTTTAGCGCTCTTTTAAATGATACAGATATGCCGATAGGTACTGTCCTTGCTTTCGCGGGCAGCGGTATTCGCAACTCTCACGACCAAACTGGCGTCTGTCACATCGCTGTCATCTCTATGATCGTCGTTGAACAGCAGTAAAAGGCAGGGTCTACGACGCGCATGGAATCCTGGTTTTGCGATTTATAAGAAGTATCATAGTCTTTTTTTTTACGTCAGAAAGGTGTAAGAAAGCACCTTTATAGTGAAGCCGAATGTCTAGGAAAATAGGAGCGCGATTCTCACACCGTGGTACCACCATCGCTCGAAGTTGCAAACATATGAGGCGTTATAAATGTTGTCCACCACACTCCTGTTCCCCTTTCATGCGAGCATAAACATATAGTAAAAAAAAACAAAAAACAAAAAACAAAAAACATTTAAATCTTTTTTTTGCCGCAGCCAGCAAAAGACTATACTTGAAGGCAACTATGTCAAATCAGTGGGTAAATGAAGGCCCCTACTCACAGTTGCGTTTGAGAGTGTTTGAGTGCGTCTGACCGCGTTGCGGCTAGGAGAAACCAGGACATCCCTGCTTTCCTATGTCTCGTGCCATGCTATTCCTTCAATGGAATCCCACGCTTTATGCGAAGCACAGATATGCCGGTGACTCGCTTTTGTTTCTCGACGCAACGCAGTCAAACGCTCTCAAACGCAACTCTGCGTAGGGGCCTTGAGATTGCTTAACTCTTCCATCCCATGGTGAATGTCTGATCGTTATTTACGAGGCGAATAGTTGACTCGAAGATACCTTCTACACGTACACCCGGTCCTGGCGTGACGCAGGGGGTGCTGCTGTCGGCACGGTACATGCGCAAAGGTTTCACGCGAGTTTGGTTTCCGCGCACGCGCAATGCCCACATCCGGTGTGGGTAAACGCTGACTCGATCGTTAACATCGCGTCGGTCTAGATCTCTTACCAACGCGCACGAGTGATCTCGAGGACCTCTTTGGAACCAGAAATGCGGGCCACCGAAGGGGTCCAACCCGTGTTGGACATTCTTCGCGGCATGGGTCTCGGCGACTGGCCGTACTCGCCGGGCGCCGGGCTGCCCGGCGCCGAGGCCATCGTGGAACTGGGAGCGGCCACGTACGGCTTCCCGTTCTTCCTGAGCCTGCGCGTGGCGCCCGATCCCCGGCGCTCGCGCGAGAACCTGGTGCACGTGGACCTTCCCGAGATGGTGCTCCACTCCAACTTCCTGCTCCTCCGAGACGTGGGCGGCTACGCGGCGCTGATGAAGGCGTACGCCGCGTACGCCGTCCGGACACTCTCGCTGCTGGGGGTGCACGGGGCTCCGGAGCAGGTGTTCGCCGACGTGCTCCAGTACGAGATCGCCATGGCGGAGGTGAGACGCGGAAACACTCAAGTCACGTTTGGCTTCTTATTTCGAAAATTCTGAAAACGGATGTGTCCTGTAAGAAAAAATTGACGTGAAAAATGCGTGTATTTTCACCATAAAAAAAAAATTCAAATCAACCTCGTTTTATTTTTTTTATTTTTGAGAAGTGTGTTTGTTTGTTTTTTTTCTTCTGGGCGCGCGCGCGGTTGTTCAAGGATCCCTCGCGGTCTTATCATTCGCATGTTACTAATCGAAACCATGCGTTTGCTTTCTCTAGTTAGAAAATTAATTCCTAAATTTTAGATAAATATTTTGCTAATTAGTACATTTTTGGAACTCCGACGTCCGCCGTGGCTGGTAGTTCGTTTCCGAAAAGACTTTTTCTTGTTTTCTTTGTGAAACACACCATTTTTTTAGGAATATTTGAAAGTCTTCGCAGGAACCCCCGGTAATTTGAAAATACCGCGCATCTTCCGAAGCCCGGGGAGAACATACCTATATATCAAACACCAGAAGGCGGTATTTTATTTCAAAACGACTGGTAGCATACAAAAACGCGCTCTTGGGACACAAAATGCAGACCATCGTGTGTGAGTGGCCTCTAGATTTGTGTACACCGCGGCCGCTCGCTCCGGCGAAGCAGCTGACGTCGCCACTACGCGAGAATCGACTTTTTAAACGAGTTCTGTAGCAATATAACGATGCGTATAACTAACGAACAATACATGTTACCTTTTTCAGCATGCCAGCCATCGCACGCTGAGGGAGCTCACAGAGTTCAAGCCGGAGAACATCGTATCCCTGAATAGCCTCGAGCCTTTGCACACAAGTGTACGACACTGCAAAGTATACCTGATGCGTTACCCAGTTGTCCTTTTTCTATAGGCCCGAAGAGGACAAAAAATAATCACTCTTCCTATCTCAGCTATTCGAGTTTACACTTTCAGTCCTCGATGTATCAAACGGCGAGACGAGTAACCATGTTTTATCACGGAACAGTGGTCCCGGAAATAAGTAACGACGTTCTTTAAAGACGTCACGTTGCCAAAACAAGGAACCAAACTGATCCGAATGAAGCACTACGGCTTGGAAACACCCAAGTGTCAAACGTGGATTAGACGTTAAATAAATAGATTACCGAAATTGAGCGAGAGCGTGCAGCTTCCGCTTTTATTGGCATGCTTAAGGCTGAACGTCATTACACGAATGGAATGAGGCCTGCTTCGAAAAAGAAAGGGCCGGCCCATTCAATTATATAAACGTACGTGACAAAACAATGAAAAGTCTATTAGTACTTACTGATTGTGTTCGTCTTTTACGGAATTACAACGACGACGCACCTATGAGCGCTGGACGCCCGACGAAGGAACAACCTTAACCGCCCCCAACTAACGCTCTTAGCGATGTAAAAAAAAAAAATCTTGCAGTTTTTTGGGGGTTATTTTTGGTAAAACGCATGTAGGATTAAATGGTACGGTCGTATTTATATCGAGACCTGCAGACTCATGCTCCATCAAGTGACATGGTCCCGTGACGCGTCACCTGACACAACGCACCACGTCACGTGTTACGTGACGCTAACTTTAAGACGGCTCTTCCGAGTCACTCTTTAACTGTCTCTTTCAACATGGTCTCAACTAAAACGTCTTGTACTACGTTGAAAAACAAACATTTCGTTTTCTTCTGTTCTCAAGGCCCTGCTGGCCAGGATGGTGCGCGACATCTACCAGATTGCCGACGTTCCGATCAGCCACTCGGAAGAGATCCTGGTTTGGAACATGACATTCGTCGGGGCCCTGGATCAATTCTTTGAAGGCGAAAAACAGTGAGCCACAGCGCACCCCCGGGGAAGTTGAAGGGAAAAATGGCTGCACCTAATCTATAGGGTTTATTTGAGCGCCCATATGTTCGTGCTTTCCACTGTCTCAACACATCGAGTGAGAGTAAATATTAGACTTTATATTTCCTCGAATATGGAGTTTATTAATAAAGCGTAAAACTAGAGTAACTGTTTACCAGATGCACCACACACTTATTATCGTTTTTCTACGAAGAAATGTTGTTAAATGCATGTAATGCTCATGCAAGTCTGAGAAACTCCTATATAAAATGGAAATATCAATATAGCTAAGATTTTGTCTAAAATATAATGTTCTTGTTTTTTTTTTATATTCAAGTTTATTCATTTACACTAAAACTGCGAGCATTACATAAAAAGTTGTTGTAAGCTCGTGAATTTATTAATGAGAATTTATTTATTTATTTTACCCTCAGGGCACAAGGTATTACAGAGGGGAGTGGGAACAATAGTAATAATGATATAAAAAGAACCAATATATACAATACTTAAAATACAAGAAAGATGAAATCGGTAATAGTTGTACAAAAGAGGGCGTCGTCATTAATTCAGGTGAGATATGCGGATAAGCGGTTCCAGACTTTCGAAATTCTGGGAATAAAAGAGTCATAATGAACGTTACAGTGGCCGAATGGGACACCGACATTGTGACGACGATCAAGGCTTGCTGAAACAAAGGGGGGAGGGGGGGTATTAGTTGTGATATGAGGTGAGGAATAGGGTGATATATTTTATGAAACTGACAAATACGAGAAACTGTGCGACGATGTGCGAGGCTTGGGAGTAAGAAACTATATTTCATTGATGTTACGCTTGTGGTGCGTTTATAAGTGACTAGTATGAAGCGTGCAGATCTGTTCTCAACACCTTCAAGTGAATCAACGAAGTAGCTGGTAGAGGGATCCCAGATGGAAGCTGGGGGCACACTCTAGCTTGAACCTAACTGTACTTCGTCTGACCCTACGATAGACTAAAGATAAAAGCTGCGAACCGCGAAATCTAATCACGAGCCACTTAGATATTACGTGGTGTTTCGCTTCAATGGACGTATCGGTGCCTGCGACTCGGACTACTGATGGAAATGGGCGGACAGAGGTTCGAATGAAATAGTACTCAGGGACTCATCCATTTTACATTGCAAAGAAAGCCACGACATACAGGCTCTTTCAAGTGTCGAAATGATACTCGAAGCCTTATTCGTCCACCCCTAATCAATGTTACGCATGTCATAGTTTAGCGTGGAACGTGATTGGACCTGGCGTAGGGTGAGACGAAGTACAGTGCTTTGTAAAGAAATAGTTTTGATTTGATAATATTAATTTGAGGCAGTGTATGATAAAAATCAATAAAACAAAGATGAAAAAAAAAATGAAAGCCGTTTACAACTCCCTGTAACGCCGAATTAGAGCGCAGCTCTTTAGGAGGTGGAGGGAAGGGTACTGAGGGTCACGTGTTCTCGGGGGGGGGGGGGGGGGGGGGTCGCGTGATTTGGGGGTGTGGTCACATGACCCCCCCCTCCCCCCGGTTACGTGACCTCAGGGGGCTCACGTGACCCCCCACAGAAATTGTTCCGCTAGGTTTAGTGGGAAAATTTTTCCGCTAGATTTAGCGCGGAATCCTTTCCGCTAGATTTAGCGAGGAAATTTTTCCGCTAGATTTAGCGGGGAAATTTTTTCGCTAGATTTAGCGGAAAAATTTACCCATAATGCACCGCGTGGTGACGGCGACGGCGACGGCGACGCCGCTCAGGCCGGAAACGGGTGCCTAAGAACTGCGCTCTAAGTACAAAAAACGTGGCTAAGCCTTGTTAGAGTATGATAGAGCTGTGAATGTAACAATAAGTTGTACGTTTGAGATGCATGTAGATATTTTTTTAGCATCTTATATGTAGAAGTAGGCATGCAATACAGTGATTTTGAGACGTTTTGGGGAACAAAATGGCTAAATACGTGCACTGTTTTTTCGTTATAGACCCCTTTCAAAGGTCGCGTGCCGATTGCTACAAGGTCGGAACCACAGCACAATGGCGGAGAAACCGGCACCGCTGAACTTGCAACTGCAGAAACTAGAAGAAACACAAGCACAGAAACACATACTAAGACCGTAATGTCAGAGTGCACGCCTCCGCTTGATTGACTCAGCTGATGATAATATACGTACTGGCATACAGCTAGCGCCGTTACGTTGAGATTTTGACGCTGCGTGTTTGCATCCATCGTAGCGTAGCATTGGTTGGGCTGTGTCATTTGTGTCCGCCATTGTGCAGGGATTCCAAAGCTTCCAACAAAGGGCAGACTTTCCACAGGGGTCTATTATGGAGAACTCACATAATGGACGACTTTTTTGTGGAACGGGGGTGTCCATATTTACGAGACATCACTGCATATGTATATTGGGTTATGTAACCTGACTTTACTTCTATTTAACTGGTTCCACATACTGTTATACTTATCCCGCTGATTGTTCATAGCAAACAATAACATAACAGCCGTCAAAGCAGTAGTATGACCAAGCGAAGCCCTCATCCCTTTTCACTTAGCAACGCGAACGCCGGAGAGGAGGCTAGAGGAGCTCACCTCCTCTCCAGCCGTATGTTTTTGTTTTTTTTCTTTTTACCATTTTATTCAAAAATGTTTTTAGGGCTCGAGGGCAATACAGAGGGGAGTGGGTTCCTTGTAATAAATAAACAAATCAAACATGAACAAAAAAGGTAAATATACACACTGAGCAAATGCTATGAAAGTAATATGTGTAATTGGTGCTGTGTCGATATTTAGACAGCGAGTAGCTGGTCAGCCATTTCAAAGTTGCGACGAGTCACTCGCTGTATAGATGAGCAATTTAGCCAGTGAAGTACAACCGCTAGTTTGGGGTCTTTAACGTGCACCATGCAGTAGTGATACATGACCGCACGCTGGTACGATGCTCATCCAGATCGAAACGGGCAGGGTCGGGTTTTGAACCCAGGATCCCTAGGTTCTGCTGAACGAGCTTTCGCTCTACGTGCTCTGGGTTGGTGTGCACTAGCCCACTTGTTACCGATCCCCCATTAATATATGTTAAGAGCTTAGTGATGGCTGTTTCAATATTGGCGGCGTTGGTTATAGAAATGGTAGGTGCGGGAAGGCGACTCCAATCGATGAACGTTGGGATATGTGATTTAGCCAGACGACTTTTCCCGACGTTCAGGCGCTGGCTGCTCAACTACCTGGGCTGGCGGGTGGCCGAGGTCCTGGGGCCGGCGTCAAGTGTGGAGCTGCTGGGTGCCCGGCACGCCTTCTTGATGGCCAAGTACGGCGCCGACGACGCCCCGCAGTTGGCCGTCCACTGCTTCGAGGAAGTGAGCCGCCTCCTGCCCATCCCCATGGGCCGCATGGCCTTCCGGGCCCAGGCCGACGGCGCCACTTTCCAGGTGAGCAAACCGTACGGTCGGACCCGCGCTTCAATTAAAGGGACACTGAAGAAGATGTCGAACTTTTGGTTATGAACGTATTGTACGACCGGGACCGCGAAGGTTTTTTTAAAAACTCTTGAATGCGTGTGTTGTGTGTATGTGCGCGCGCGCGTGAGTGTGTGCGTGTGCGCGCGGATGTATGTGTGTGCGTCTGCGTGTTCCTGAAAATGCGTGCATGCTTGCGCGCGCGTGTATGCATGTGCGTGCGTGTGTGTGCGTGCGGCCTACGAGGTGGCACCTGAGGTGTCATTTTATTCGTTCCATATTGTGTCACGACTACAGTTTCCATTTATTTTCTATCGCGAATGGTCGTGGCTACGGGTACTTTAGTTACGGAGCATGTTCTATTGGGTTCTGACTCTGTGAATTTTTTCACAGATGCATAACGGCATCAGCTCTGGAAAGATACCATCAGCAAATATCCATCGCCAGCCGGAAATTTGAAATTCGAGATCTCCCTTTAGGATGAAGCAACTGCCGCTCTTTGCTTGATTCCGTAAAGGTTAGAAAAAAAGAAGAAAAAAAAACATTACGCAAAGAGGGGGCCAGAAGAAACGGAGCACACAAAAAACCGACTCATATTTTGTCTGTCCTCGTTTCGTAACGCTTTAATGCCCTTCACCAGCATTTACACTTCAAAGTCTTTGTAAATCAACTAAGATATTTGGATAGGTGTCCCCGAACTTGACCTGGGTATCGCATATTATTTAGCTTATAAATTAATGCCACTCGTGTAAACAAATAAATAATTTAAACACGAGCAAAAAAATAAAACAGGAGCTTCCTGAATAATTGCCATTGAAGCGTAACAAGTAGCACTACTCTTGTCATTTTTTTTGCCCACTATGGTTACCTGGACAACATTACAGGTTTTTCGTCTGTTGATTAGGATCTTAGGCTTATCCTTTTTATTGCGTTCGGTATAGTGACGTAATACAAGGTCCGAGAAGTATCAGGTAGCGAGAAAACAACTTTCTTAAAAGGGATAAGCCTAAGATCCTGATGAACAATACGCAAGAAATAATTATATCAAGCAGTTTCTTACCGGAAACCCCAAGTATTTAGGCGCAATCTGCGTTAAACAGACACCATACCACATACTAGAAATGGAAAAGCAACGAAGTACCGCATCGGCGAAACGGACGTATTTGAAACCTCTGAATTTACGTGAAGGTGTTCGCGTGGTTACCTGGGTTGTATAAGGGTATCTTAGATTGTATAAGGGTATCTTAGAATGATATATGGAGTGGATAGCCACGAATGACATGCGCAGTCACAAGAGACAGGCTTCGCATTGCACTGACACGTAGCCAAAGTTTGCGTCAGTGTGTGTTCGGCTAGCAGTATGGTCTGCCCATACGTATAACATATATGATACGACGCAAAATAAGGTCGTATGCATCCTCACGCGTCCTCAGACAACACGTCCCAGCTCTACTTCGTTTCAGCCTAAGTCCAGACGCAGCCCACGCTCTGAGGTAATGGGACCAATCAAATAGCGTCAAAAACTCAAGTCATTAGGCTTTTTTTCCGTTTATGATTGGTTCAGCGATGATAAAGAGCACGTACAGCCGGCACGGAATGAAACGCGAACAGTGGGTGCATGGTTTTCACTAGATGCTGCACCAACTGAACCAGATGGGAGCTGCAAGAAGATGACTCCTCATTCGATGTGTTAGACTCTTGCTCAGTGCATCCAAACCTTCGGTGTTGCGTCTCTAGGTGACTCAGCGTGGGTCGAAAACCATGCGCTCCTTGTTCGCGTTTCATTCCGTGCCGACTGTACATAAACATGACGAACACCATGATGGTGCGCTTTCGACGCTGTCTGCTTATTCCCATCAGCTCGTAGCGTCGGCTGCGTCTGGACTTGAGGTGAAATAAAGTATGGAATAATAAAAGCCCGCGCTCTTGGAACTTCAATGTCATCAGAGTGAGGTCGAGCGCAGTCACCGATAGGATACGAGTACTACGTCAGTGTTCGGCTAGGCCTCGTGACCAATCAATGTGTCGGGCTCGGGACACCACCTTGACAGAAGGCCTCTGCATGATCTCCTCTCCCTCTATGAAACGTCATCAGAGTCAGATCGCGCTGACTCGGCTATTGGGCCCGAGCCCGACCTTCGACGCGCTGATTGGACACGAGCCCCGGCCGAACACTGACGCAGCACTCGTGCCCAATATCACGCCTCGATTGATCTGACTGTCTTGACGCGTACAGAGGGCTTTCTAGGTTGTGTTGACACGGGCCCCAATTCCCGAGTTGGCGCTATCCGAGTATGATGCGGTTACGTGGAGGTTACGTTGAAGGTCCAAGGAAATGAGGCTGTTCATAGGCCTTAATTATACTATGTAGTGTTATCCCAGAACGTCGTTCTTGTAGATTTTCGTATGATTTTAGCGACGAGGCGGAGCACAGAACTCGACCTGGAGGAAGCGTAGTAACGACGGACAATGGGCAATTTCGCAGAAGCTGATATCGCGTATGGTTGCCGAAATCCGGGCATCGCTCTTGCTGCTGCTGGAGGGAAGCGACATCCGCTGGCTCACGGACGAATCGAAAGCTATTGCCACCGAAAAGGTGTGGAACTCGGTTCTTACACCCTGATAATTTCTCAACACATAAAGAAAAGTACGCGTTTTTGTTTTTCGTTCGTTTTACAGATCCGGAAGTTGAAGCTCATACAGCAGCCCTATAACAGCACACTAATCGACTGGGAAACGCCCGTAAGTCAAGATTTCCGAAGTGTTGAAAACTGGGTCAGTTGGTACTGGTTAATTGTAAAACAAAGCGTTCAAAAGCAGGACCCAAGAAGACGGCGATAGACAAGTGCTCGTTTGTCCTGTGTGTGTCCTTTTGTCCCTGTTTTTGGGCGCTCTGTTTAATAATGAGACACTAGTACTGCCGCTGATTGCCTGTTAAAAGGGGGGGGGGGGAGGGGCAATTTAGTGTAGTCGCTGACATTGCTGCTCCAAAGAGTTCTTTCCGGCTTCATATTCAAACGTATGTGCTCTAAGCGATCTGGAACATAGTTTTGTGACTTGTCTTAGCGGTTGTTCTCAGTTATTTACTTTATTTTTATTTTTCACCTGCCACTCGGAATTGAGCAAAATGTATGCGTATATTCTAAGACAGACGAACGCAAGAGTAAAAGCTCTCGATCGGCACAGGTCGGAATAAACAAGAGTAAGATTGTGCTATGATACGCTCTAAAAATCATACGTTAAGCCAGTGGTTCTCACCAAGTGATGTTTCGCGGACCTCTTGTGGATCGGCGGAGATGATGGAGGACCGCATTCGTGGTGAGGGGAAGGGAAAGGTATAGGATCATTGTTTTAATGATTTAATAAGTGGATATGACTAAGGGATGGTGTGAAGTAGACTTTTCCCATTGACATAAAAACCAGAAAACTCACCCGAAAATTGGAATGTTCCTTCTCAATCGGATAAGAGACAACTTTTCTTGCCGAACTTGACTGACAATTGGCAAGGCTTCGCGGACCCCTAGAATGTTTTAAGCCATTGACTGTGCTCATCGTTTGACGAATATAAACTATCCTGATTTTGACAAACTTTGTTTTTTGTTTACCGTTCATTCCAACCGAAGTGGCGAGAGAGCATTGAGCGGGAGTTTTACTTGACTGCTTCATATTTGGGGATTATCATAGTCCCTACGACAAGTTTCTTTGACTATGGGTTAACTTGGCATGCGGGCGTCGCGGCTAGAATCTCGAGAACGTTGTATGTATTGTATAAACAAATAACTTGAAAGTTTATTAATAGCAACAAAAACAAATCAAAATAAATATTACAAAAAAAAAACGAAGTGCGAATAAAGCGTTTAAATATTTGACTGAACATTGTTCGCAGGATGTGCTCTTGTACGGCGAAAGCTACGTGAACAATCTGATCCTTCTCCAGACTTCCAAGGCCACCCAGGAATGGAAAGGACTCAGTAGGCACAACAGCCTCGACACGTGAGGAACTAATATAGCCGTCAGCTGTTATGTTTGGATTGCCAAACTAGCGTAATTGTAGTGCAAACTTTACTCAGATATTTCACAGAAAAGTACGCGAAATAATCACCACTAGAGGAAAAAAAATATACAGACCGTAGATATTGATTGGGGGGGGGGGGGGGGGGTACGTGTTTTCGAAAACATGGGGCCCTATGAGGCTCCAGAAACCGAAAACGGGCAAAAATGGGCTCAATTTTTTTATTGAAATTTTCCGAAAATCACTTATAACTTTTGTATAAGGTATGGGATCGGGCTGAAACTTCGGCATTTGGTTGTGACCTCTAGCGCTACCTTTGGGCGGAGAATGAGCGTTGGGCGATGCCTATTTTATTTTTGCGGTGAAAAAAACCCATGTAATTTGTTTTTGTGACGCCCTGTAGATGTCCGAGGGTGATCACGACTAAAAGGTGAAGTGCACACCGTGGCATTCATTTTAAGAAATGCCAACAGAGTGCGAAACTCAGAGTTGCTAAGATTGTTGCTTTCGGAGGAATCCTTGAGTGAATCTAATGTGTACAATTTCGAGAAAAGTGGAAATTCATAATCTTAACGCAACTGGAACCTCACTCTTACTCTTAGCTGATGTCGCTCAACTGGTCAACTGGTTTCAGGGCTCTGTAGTTTAGAGCACCGTGATGTGATGTTATTATGGACACCTTCGTTCCCCCGAAAATCATTCATAATGTGAGTTCTTCATAATGACCAAACAAAAATGCACGCATTCACCCAGTTCGACCCCGGAATTGTTTTTATAACGGTGTATTTATTTAAAAGCCGACCTACAAAACGTTTTTCCGCAGGGTAGAAAAATCCTCTCTGTCACTCTTTCCCCCTCTCCCACTGCTTTCTTGAAGACGGAGGAATTCTTTTGTTGCTGCATCTTGGAGATAAAGTGCGCAGGCGAGCTGGTAGTAGATAATCACACTCTTTAAGACGTCCACGGGGCACCAGAAGACGTTCCCTTCTGTGCCTGTTCCTTTGACGAAAAGTTTTTTTTTCCTTTTCTGCACCTTAGTTTTAGCTGTGAAACTATATGACGCGTCTTGGATCTGGGCAAGCCGGGATAAGATCACTGAAGTTGAAGCAAGTAGGCAGGCGAGCTGGTTAAGGGTAGACATAGTAACGCTGGAGCTAGTGGACAAAAAGAGGCGGACAGACACGAATCCCGGCTTATCCACGACACAGATAGCGGCTTATCCAGCCCCAACAAAAGGAGTTTCTCTCCGTTAAGATTGCAAGGGCAAGGGGAAAATAAAAGGGGTGGTGAGGACGATTTTCCTACCTTGCGGAAAAATGGCTCGGAGGCTGGGATTGTAACATCTGGGGTTGTTCCAGATGCGAAGTTAAAATGGTCTGGAACGGTTGGTAAAAACTAACTTTTTATTTAGTTGGGATAGGGCCGAAGACGAGTAGCAATTTTCGCAATCTGGTGCCATTCTGTTGAGAAGTCTCCCTGTGCAGTATCTCTTGTGACCTCGCGCAGTATTCGTTTTTGTACCTTCGTGCGTACGGTTACCTCGCAGTGGCGTGAACTGGTGAAATCGCGAGGCAATACGGCAACCAGACGAGAGAGCAGTACCCGCGGTACAATAGTGACCCATGAGGTTATTATTTAGTGTTATGCACTCTGGATATTGCTCGGAACTGATGCAAGCGTGCGGCAAGTTCCGCTCACGACGCGGCGCCTAAATCGGGTACCGAAATCCGATGCTCTCAGGAGCCGATGGAGTCGAGTGGAGAAATGTTCTCACGGGAGCCGCTGTATGTTGGTGCATGCGTAACCGCAGGCTCAGGGTCTGAATTAACGAGAAATTGTGTTAATAAACAGGGTTTGCAATTTTTTTTTACAATGTAGCATATTTTTTAACACTGATGGCTTATTAATTGAGGACTTTGCGGACTCGGATCATTAAGTGCGTATTCTGATCGTTGATGCAGGGTGGCGGTGCCTCAGCTTAGAATGAGCGTGTCCTATGACGTCTATCGGAATGCCATCGGTAAGTCTGAAACATAATTTATACTGTCATGCCGAAATATTATAAATTTTAATACTTAAGAGGATATCACAGATCCAACACCTGGATTTCCTATGGCAACTTGTTCTTGGCCTCTTTATGAATATAATGAGTGTTGTCAGCTTTTTGGCCCGCAATAATTACATTCTCAGCCCCTTAGCTAAGATAGGAAGGGTTTCGTCTATATTGGTTAAGTTAAATAATGCCTTCAGCCTTTTGGCTAAGATTAGGGGCGTTATCAGCCTTCGGACGAAAATTGAAAGTGTTATCGGCCGGCTGACCCCATGCCAAGAAAATTCTTAGCCTCTTCAGTAAGAACATTAGTGAAGTTCACACGCTCTGTACAAATGGTAAAAAGTGTTATCAGTTATTTAGCTAAGATCAAGTATGTTTTCAGCGCCTTGGTTCACATTAAAAGTGTTTTAAACCATCTGACAAAAAAATTTGCTCTCAGCCTCCTGGTTAAGATTAAATGTGTTATGAGCACTTTGGCTTAGATGCGTGACGTTTTCAACCTCTTGGCTCAGATAAGAAACACGTTCTCAGCATCCTGGATAAGTAAAAAAAAATGTTCGCAGCCATTTGGCTATTAAATGGAGACGTGCAACCTCGGTTTTCTGCAGGGAAGATACTTCTCTTAGCGCTCCTCTCTCAGATACGAGGGAAGCCAAATTGGGGCAAGGTAAAAAATGGAGAGGATACAAAAAAGGAGGAGGCGGGCAGAAGGGGAAAGCGTGAAGTGTACGTCGCCTTTAAGCGTCAGTAGAATAGAGTCGTTGTTGTGTTCGTATCGGCTTCTTTATTTGTACAACAGGTTATTGGCTTCCAAAACACAAAATACACATTTTCAAAGTCTAAACGATACAATAAAAATAAAAAAATAATAAAAAAAACGCAAAAAAAGTGTGCTTTAACACCTTTTTTTTTCAGTCGTTCCGGCTCTGATAGCGAGACCCAGCATTCTAACACCGGAGCTCAGCCCGTAAGTCCACAATTAATTATCCAGAGGGATTCACCGCTTCAATACAGGGAACACACAATAGACCCTTTCCGGAATTCAGTCGGGCCACCTTGATCAGTATTATCATCTGAAAAGTGGCATATGTGCAGAGCTGGCAGTAATGTAATTACTGTAATGAAATTACAGTAATTTAATTACTTGTTTCAGTAATTAGTAATGTAATTCGTTACTTTTTGTAGCAGGTAATTTAGTAATGTAATGAATTACTCCAGCGACGGTAATTGTAATTAAATTACCTAATTGCGTTTTCGCACCAGGCCTATTTTTTGTGTCCACAATACACAAGAGCGCTTTTCTTTTTATTTTACATTTTCTTTTTCCTCTACACCTTTCCAAAAAGCGCTCTTTGGCCGCCGCTAGTGTGCCTCAATGCCTTTCTGTTTAGGGTGATGCCATCGTTTGTAGTACCCGATGCCGACAGCACGCGCTCACAGGGAAAATACAAGGAAATCGAAGGAAACAAAATGTCGCCATAACACAGTCAGCGCCACGCGCGCGTGCAGGGACACGCTCTTTAAAGAGCTTCAGAACAAAAAATAAAAATAAGCGTTCGAAACAAAATGGTCAGATGTCATCACCCCAAGCAAAGCGCGCATGAAGGCACCCTAGCCGCCGCTATGTTGCTGATGCTAAAGCGGCTGGTGCGACTCTCGCGCCCGCTGTCAGCTAGACATTTTCTGCCACTCTCTTGAACTGTGAAAACCCGCTCAGCGCGATTCTCTACCTATGTTTTGCGGTTTTGCATTCGACGTTTTCTGGTCCCTCTTGAAAGTTTCCGTTTACTTTTTCTGGTGCATGCTGCATACCCTCTCTGTGTTATCTTCCACTGTGAGAAATAGGGCTGGTAAGTGCCTGCCATTCGAGCTTTTCTGCTCGACATTCTCGGGAAACGAAGGAGGGGAAGTAAGTCGAACTAAGGCCCCTGGTGGAACGGCCCTCGACGCGATTTTGCGAACAATGACAATTGTTCTCCCCCCTCCCAGAGATAATCCGCGTAGGGTCCTCAGTCATCTCCAAAAATAGTTGTCCGGGTTGGGGTGGGAAACGGATCAGTCGCGTGCGTTCCTCTGTCCATCGGTAAACATGTTATTTGTGAGCGTGAAAAATGCATGCCTTTCGGCTATCTTCTGTTGTAAATTATCTTCGACAGCTAAACGCTTTGTCGTTTGACACGCGGCTAATCGAACGGCGCCGTCAAAACTTACCATAAAACAACAACAACTAACATTCCAGTCGCATTCGTTCTGTCGCGCGCGTACCCAACAAAAAAAAAAGTTTACTGCTTTTTTTTTTTCAAATGTGGTACAATGCTTCCCAATGTCCTCGGGAAAATACATGCAGCATGAAACACAAAATGCAGTGGGAAAACACGAGAATTTTGCCGCCAGCAGTGTTTGAAACTGCGCCTACACAGGCTGCGCCTATCGAAATCGCAGTCCACTCGGTTAGGGTTAGCAGGGACGCCGGTGAGAGTCTAGCCTCAAATCCAGTGACTGGGCTCGAAAACGGTCTGTTGCCGCTGGGGTCGAGTGTTTCTTGGAAAGGTGTATAGTCTGAGCGTCTCCGTTCGCCCCTAAGCTGGCAGTACGGTGGAAGCCACATGCTCCCCCGACCAATCAATCTCCTGCCGCTTAGCGCTTGACCCCTTTCTCCCCGCACGAGTATAGGGAGAGGGTGTAACCACGAGAGGGATTTTAGGCGCAAAAAGAAATAGTGAAGAAAAATAAAAAAAAATATATTAGGTGACTCACGGAGGGGCGCATCCTCAAGATAGGAAACACTTCGGGCTGTTGGAAACGCAAAGCCGAAGAGGAAATTGGGACAAGGCGAACACTCAAGTGCCTGGCTTTTGAGTGTTCAAGCTGGCATGGCTTGCAGACAAAGAACTGGAAGAGAAGAACTGGAAACTGGTGCAGTGCCAGTACAATGCTTCGCTTCCCGTGCAAGAACACCTGAGACCAGAGCCGGCAACGGAAATTTCTGATCCAGACGATGATTTCTTCAGCATCAGGCGGACAGAAGCGCATCGTACAGACGCTGACGAATTCCGCCGTTGGAAGCACAGCCATACCACAGAACTTTCAGTTTTGGAGAGCTTTCCGAAGATGAAAGAGCTCTTCGTGCGGTTCAACCCTGGGCTGCCTTCGTCTGCTCCGGCCGAGAGGTTGTTTAGCATGGCAAGGGACACGTTGTCCTGCAAGAGGGGATCTCTCTCCGACTAAAATTTTGAAGCGCAGCTTCTCCTGAGATGCAACAGAGAGTTCTAGCTGCGTGCCATGAACTGTGTAAATAATGTAAATAAAGTTATCTGTAAAAGGAAGTTATCAATAGCTCCTTTATATTTAAACGTATACAAAAGTAATGCGAAAGTAATGTCATTACTTTTAAAAGTAATTTGTAATGGTAATAATTACTTTCTGGCTGTGGTAATTTGTAATGTAATTTAATTACATTTCAGCAGTTTTCAGCAAAGTAATTAGTAATGTAATTTAATTACAAAATATGAGTAATTTGGCCAGCTCTGCATATGTGCTATACTAATGGCGGCCTTCTGTCCACTGATGAAGGAAGAAGTTGAAGACGCTCCTAAGCAGATGATTCGATGCATATACATTCTAGACGTTAGCGCGATGTGAATCTTGGATGCAAGAGCTGCGTAAGCATTCATTTCTAACTCGGGCCCAGTCAATCTGTTAGTTGCACAAACTCGGCTTCAAAGCCCCTTGACGCATAGAACTTTAATCAAGGCGTCTACGTAGGATGGCGCTTCATTCTGACTGGTTGCATCTTTTCGCCCTCGACTCTGAGATTGAAAGAGAACTGTACAGTGAAGGCGCGCATTCTCGTTTACAGTTGACTTGCGAAAGTGACAGTGCCTTGTAAAATACTGCAGACCACAGGTTCATTGCAGCCATTAGTACGGTAAAAGTTAAACTGCCATTTGAGTCACCAGATGGCACTGAATTCCGGAAAGGGTCTATAGGCTACTGCTCACAACTTTACAACTGCTATGCTGCGCCGATTATCTCAGGGCTCACACTATTCGTTTATTTATTTACGAGATAGAAACAGAGACGTATACGGAGCGCAAGTTCATCTGCTTCTTTCGCAGAGGCTTCGGTGACGTTAGAACGCCGCGGACTCTGATTGCTCTCATTGGAAGGATAGTGGGTATACTCAAGGCAGCTAACACTGAAGTCTTCCCACTACCCTTCCAGCCAGAGCTAACCAGAGCTCGGCGTTCTGACGTCACCGCAATTCCTGAGCAAGAAGCAGACGAACTTGCTCTCCGCATATGAGAGGAGGGCGTTGACGAGAGGCAACACGGCTACACGACGTGCAAGTCTGTCAGCTCGTAGCGCACCGGGTGCGTTTGTTCGCTCACCCAGTGCGCCGACATGCTTAAAAAAATCGATCTCAATTAATGACGGCGTGCGCTTAGGTGCCTCGACATTGAGCGCTCTCTACGCGTTCTTTATGTTGCTCCCTTGATTAGCGTGCTCCGCCTTGCGCTCCGATGCGCCAAAGACACATATTGGAGCATTCACTCGCTGTGCTGTCACTGATAGCTTAAAAAACGCACGGCACGACGTGTGCCTTCAGGGATCTTATATTCGCTGCGCGGCCGACGAATGCGGCCTTTGCCGATAAAAAACGCCGATGAAGGAATCAGGATGCAAAAATCATGATTATAACAAGCCACTCCTTGCGTTTGTTTCTTAAAGTTAAAGAGGTCCTTGAATTTGAAAGAAACAATAAAAGTTGTAATGTGGACAGCGTGAACATTACGCGGGTTAAGTTTTCTTCCGATCTTATTAGTAGGTGTGTCGTAATAGCCGATTAAAATTTCGACGCAGACCCAGCCACTGCGGCGCGCCTAGGGTTATGACGAGAGAGCGGAGAGAAAAACTAGCAAAAATGACGTCATCAGCGGGCACCCTTGCTCGCCACTAAGCTGGCTCGGGGATGCCGTCGGTGACATTCAAAACGCCCTGGACTGATAACAGCTAACGGCAGAGTGGATCGCCGGATGCCCAGCTGCAATCGCTACACGAATTTATTTTCAAAATAAATGCGGTTTACCCAAGACAAGTGCGATAACTGATTTGAAAAGACAAAAAGCTATACATGCTTTGCACTGACCTCGCATCATCCATTTCGCAGCACGACGGAAAAGAGAGAGGGGGAAGCTGCTTTTGTACGAATTCTGAGTGAAGGGTTAATCTTCTATGATCTCCTAGAGGGACAATAGCGACGTCTGGGCACGTCTGGGAGACACAAAAATGTAGAGTCCTTCCACTTCACGTGAAGATAAAAGACAAGCTAAGCTGTTATCTTTACGTCCTCTAGGACGATGCCTAGAGGACGACGTCTAGGACCACCTTAAGGACGACGTCTAGAACGACCTCAAGTACGACTTCTAGGACGACACCAAGAGGACAACCTCAAGGATTACTTTTAGGACGACCACGAGGACAACCTCTCAGACGACCTCAAGAACGACTTCCAGGATGAATTCTACAAAAAGCCTTACCACTCTGGTGAAAACCAGAGTGGAAAGGCTGGAAAGGTTCCGCCATTTATGAGGTAATAAGACAACCGGCTTGGGGCCAGTTGTCTGGTTGCCGCCGTCGCTCATAGAAGGCTGTAGCTGTCCAGAGTTTTGTGTCGACATTTATTTGCCCGCGGACACGATACTGGGGAAACTAGCTCTTAACAGTCCCGTTGTACAAGGGAACCCGGAGAAAGGAGAGTTCCTCCTTCCCCTCTTCTCTGGTGGTGGCCGGAGAGTTGGCAAGAGGACGTCAGGCGCAAATAATGTATAGCAGTCCACTCCTAACTCAGATTTCTTGAAAAGTCAAAAATACTTGCCGGTAAAAAATATTGTTCATTGGGATGTACCCGGAAAAACTCGGAACTGCCAAGTGTAAAAACCCGAACGTTTCATTTTTTTCCTCTATTTTATAACCGCTGGACATATTTTGCAATTATTGTTGTTGTTTTTTGCATCTATTTTTTTTTAAAGGTCGCAAATTTGTTTTGCACATTTGTTGGAATGGGCCATAGACTTGATTTTTTTTTTCAGGCTTATTCTATCGTATCCGAAACCTGGTGCTCAAAATTATGTTGTTATGAATTTGACAAATGTAATATTATGAACAGAAGCTGTGCGTTTATTTTTCTGGTTTTTACGCTTGTGTGCGACCTTGGTATTTTTGGTTAATATTGGTATTTTGATTTTGGTATTTTAATAAATATTTTTTCAGCGTGTTTTCTTTTTTTTGCGGGGGGAGTTATTCCTGGCTGCCAATTTCCAAACGGGCCACAGGCCTCGTCAAGCTGCCTTTGGCAGCTTTCTGTATGGGCACCTTGGCTAGAAGACCAAAAATAAAAGCGATTGATTGATTGATAAACAAGTGTTCACTCTTTTTATTTGTACTGCCAATATACGTATATGTTTATTTGTACTGGCAAATAAGGTGAAAAAATATATAAAACGCAGGCATGTTGTTGAACTAACTCCATAATGACGGTGTGTGCGTGTTTATCCTTTATTTATATGTTTCCAGCCTTGTTGTTTTATTATGGGGTACAGTTACGTTGGAGATTTCTTTTTTTATGGAATCCATTGTACCAAATTTTGTCAGAAAAAAATGAAAGCCGTTTACAACTCCCTGTAACGCCGAATTAGAGCGCAGCTCTTGAGGAGGAGGAGGGAAGGGTAGTGGGGGGTGGGTCAAGTGACCTCGGGGGGCGGGGGGTCACATGACCTTGGGGGTCACGTGACCTTGTGGGAGTCACGTGACCTTGTGGGAGTCACGTGACCTTGGGGGTCACGTGACCTTGTGGGAGTCACGTGACCTTGTGGGAGTCACGTGACCTTGGGGTGTCATGTGACGTCGGGGGGGGGTCACGTGACCTGGGGCCACGTGACGATGCCGATGACGTCATCAGTGACGTCACTGAAGACGCCATCAGTGATGATGATGATGACGATGCGGATGCCGGTGACGTCATCAGTGACGTCACTGATGACGTCATCAGTGATGATGACGATGTGGATGCCGGTGACGTCATCAGTGACGTCACTGATGACGTCATCAGTGGCTATGACGTCAACGGGGGGTCACGTGACCTCGGGGGTATCCCCAGGTCACGTGACCCCCCCGGGGTCACGTGACCTGGCTAATTATCGTGACCCTCGTGAGGGTAACCCTAGTAACCCTTGTGAGGGCAACTTTCGTGACCCTCGTGAGGGTAACTCTCGTGACCCTCGTGAGGGTAACTCTCATAACCCTCGTGACCCTCGTGAGGGTAACCCTCGTGAAGGTAACCCTTTTGAGGGTAACTAACCCTCGTAACCCTCGTGAGGGTTACGAGGGTAAGTAACCCTCGTGAGGGTATCCCTCGTGAAGGTAACCCTTTTGAGGGTAACTAACCCTCGTAACCCTCGTTACGAGGGTAAGTAACCCTCGTGATCCTCGTGAGGGTAACCCTCATGAGATTAACCCTCGTAACCCTCACGAGGGTTACGAGGGTTGCGGTTACGCCGACGGCGACGCCGACGCCGACGCCGCTCAAGCCGGGAACGGGCCCCTAAGAGCTGCGCTCTAATATAGGGAAGCACAGTTTATCTCAAGAAAGAGGTATTCGTTTAAGTTTTAAATGTGCACTTTCCCTAAGATCTTGAAAGGCGCTCGTGCAAAACGGCGCAAGCTAATAGACGTTCTGGGTTCTATAAATATCTCCAGCAGGGATGGGCAGTATTTCAAATACAAGTATTTGAAATACGTATTTAAAATACTTTGTGTATTTTGCATTTGTATTTAATTACAAATTAGGTAATGTATTTGACGTGTGTATTTAAATACTAAAACGTGGGTATTTGAAATACAATTGTAATTAAATACAATTTTGTGGGCGAAAATACATCCCTCAAATTTATTGTCACTGTCCAGAGCAGGAATAAAACTACGTTCTGCACTGAATGCAGTGTCTCTCAATCAAGCACAAGCATTTAGTAACTTTGTGATTAGGGTGCTAGTCCAAAGCAAGAATATTGACGAAATCGACGTTCACAGGCAGACTGCCTAAATAATTAAGTGCCTGTGACAACTTGTGGTGCTTTACAGCCTGATTTCCATCCATATTTTTGCCTGGAACATTCTAAATGCGCGGCTCGTCCAGATTTTCGTAACTGGTGCGAGTTGAAACAATAAAATATTCTCTTGCTAGTGCTGCGCGTCTTGGTCGTCTCGGTTCCAAAATGTAATCGACAAAAAAGCTGCTTGCAGCTCTATACGTTTTTCACCTATTACGTCCAAGGTGATTATATTTTTTTGTGATTATATTTCAATTATGTTACTAGGGCCTCGCACACTAACTCGCGAGTGTGCGATGCAAAATTAAAATGAGATACCCAGAAACCCGTTGCAGGTGCCCTGAAGTCGCTGACGCAAATTTTGAGGAGTGTATTTGGAAAAGTATTTGGAGCAGACCAAATACATTTGGTTGTATTTGTATCTTGTATTTAAATGCTTTTTTGGAAATTTAATTAGATTTGTAATTAAATACAGTTTTGACGAAGTATTTTGTATTTGTATTTCGATACATATCTGCATGTATTTTGCCCATCCCTGATCTCCAGTAACATTGTCATAATGACTACCCCAAACAACCATTTACCAGATTTCCTCTACATTCGCATGCGTTTACGTCGTTTTCTATGGGTTCTGGTATACAACCGTGTTTTACTACGGATTGAAAAAAAAAATCTTCAATGGGTATCGTAGCATTGCCCGCTAAAGAAGCCACGGGTACAGCCATCGTACTATACATACCAGCTATACAGCGGCCTTCTAAAAATAGACCTATAGTTACAACACAAGAAGCGGTTACCTGACATCGAACACACCCTTGTATCTCGAATATCGGTCACTTAAAATATACACAAATATTAACCTTTATATCTTCTCCCCTTGTCTCCCACCCCCTCCCCTTCAAATTGAACAACAAATCCAACCTTCACAAAGAAGGACTTGTACTTTTAATGACTGACCTTCCGAAAATCCTACCCTCTTCTTCACTTGATCGTACTGCGGACACAAACATCGAGAAGCAACTGTTCCTAAGTTCAGACAAAGGACTTTGTTGGAATGAAACATGTGAGGTTGTTGTAAAGCGCTTGTGCAATATGGGGTAACGGTACATATTGCTCGTCTAAATCACCCACTAAAAAATAAGGTTAAAAGCTGTGATTTTTAAAGGTGAATATATCAACAAATGAAACCCTCCTTCCACATGTCTTCTTCTCCTGGTGCTGCATTCAAATTCGTATGTTGTCATTATGATTTGAAAGATAAAATAAAATAAAACTTTGCTTGATCTAACTAAATATGTTAATCAGCAAAATACAAATCTAACGTATTTGTGATGATACGTTCCATTTCACATATGGAACTTGTAAGGGGAATGCGTTCGAAACATCAGTAGGAACCAGGAACGAGCTTCCACTCTTTTTTCTTAAGGAACGTTACAGCACTGCTTGGGAGTTGGGCTATCGCAACCGAATCATCGCGATATTTAATTGTGCTCGTAGGGTGGTCCATACTATTTTTAGTATTTTTTTATTTTATTTTTTTAAGCTTGAATCTCTGGCCTTGCCTTGCGCTTTCGAACATGAGCATTAGAGTGATAATAATTTTGGCTAGTACATTGTTGATGTAATTAAAACTGATAAAATTAGATGCTTGAGTGATTCAACAAGTAAGCTACTATAGACAGGGCTAAGCAGATGGTCAAGTAGTATCCTAAGTTCAGACTTAAAAGAAAATTCAATAGTAATTTATTCTTGAATCTTTTAGCTCCATCAACTTTGGCGCCTTTGGATATCTCGTCGCCCACGAGATGTTGCGAGGCATCATGTTCAGCGGTAAGTCGCGCAGTTGCGCGATTTCTATTCATTGCTGTATCGAAAAGCCAGTGGTTCTCTGAACGGCCGCTCATTGCGTTGTCTTCGTTAGAGTGTTCTGACCAACGAGGTAGAGGGCCTTAGAGCAATAATTTGACAGCTGAAAGTGCCACCGATTGGCCGCCGTCATATTGCACATTTTTGACCACTAGGCACGTGACCTTATAGTTTTAAGTCTAGATTTTGACGAAGTACTGCGCACAAATAATTGCTTATTGATATTTTTTAACAGGACCAACGAGATAAGTTATATTTCATTTGATATAAGTCAAAAATATGTTTTAACGACGAAAACTCGGGCAGTATCGCAATGCCTCCGCTAAATGCCGTGAGTCGCGGTGCTGTATCTTGGGTTTTTATCTGAGCTAGATACTGATCTCTGGGGCTAACAGTATTGAAAAAATAGTTTATTTATTTTTTTTAAGCGATCGCAATACAGATTTAGGCTTAGTTTTGTGTAAAAGCCTCAGGATTTGGTACGGTCACGTGTCTAGTGGTCAAGATTGTACAAAAAGGCGGCAGCCAAGTGGGGGTCACTTCCTGGTGAACTGTATACCAGTTTATCGCTCTAAGCCCCTCTACCTCGTTGGTTCTGGAGAAATTGACACTCTAATTGGCTGTGCTGTCAGGCTATTAGTATAAAAAGAACAACAGACAAGCAGGAACTCCACATAATTTTGTAAAATTTTTTTTGCAATACCCGAATTTCGAAAGTATAATATTTATTTCAAACCACATCGCTCGTGAAAAAAAAAAAGTCCGTAGAGGTTATGCGAGCTAGCGGAATCAATGTGGATTTCAATCCGTAAAAGAGAAACAAAGCAACTCTACAAGGTGCAATTTCAAGCGCAGCTGGTTTCAAAAGATCCTAGCTATTTTATGAAAAAAAAACTTCTGTGACAAATCCGAGAAAAGGAGGAGAGCGCAAGCACAATAATCGGCACAAAACTTGAGAGAGGGCCTACGTGCCCGTACCTTTAACTTCATAACCCAAGAAAGCTGACCGCGAACATAATGGTATAGCGTTTTCGAGGTCTCGGACATCTTACAACATGCATTTTATTGTATTGATATAGTTCAGTTCAACAGTTGCGAATTTAATGCAGCGTTGTGGAAGATAAGGGCGAGATCACATCACTTTAGAAAATGACCTCGTCGCAGTAATGCTGAGGGAATAACGAGGAAATTGTGCGGCTATTCTCTGGCACTCGTGGCTCTGATAATGAGGCACGGAAGTTGCAATATGGTTCGTTATGAGGTAGAAAATAAATCAAATTATATTATCAGGTTTCCAGTTTTCTTAAAAGATTTATCCCGTTTCGATCTACATTACTACCTGGTTCGTTGAAACAAACCCGTAAAACCGGAGCAATAACACTCGCGATTCTTCAAAACGGCATCTGCAGGGAGCGTAATCGACGAGCAGGGCAGTTTGCGGAACTGGCACACTCGAGCCCGCTTCGACATCTTGGTCAACTGCTTCGGGACAATGCTCAGGCACACCATCACCAACGAGATCATGAACCGGGTACGCATATAAGTGCTTTCTCTCGCTCCGTGCGACCAAAGTTTTACACGAAGTCCGACCACAGGCGACACTGCCTATCACGCAGCTCCGTAAGTGAATTAAGCGTCCTGTCGCTCGCCGTCTTTGTGCGTTTGCCGTCAGCGGCTAACCCATAATCACGCACGGCGAATGAGTGCCCCATTATTCTGCGCTTTCTTGTGGGCGTGTTTGGTCTATAGACCGACACACTGTTTACAAACTAGCCCGCGGTTGCCCACACCAGGTGTGGGCACTGCGCGAGCGCAGAAACCAGATTCGCGTGAGGGGAAGCTTCTGCGCATGCGCCGTAACGACAACAGCGCCACGGCAGAGGCGTGACGTCGGAGCCACGTGCTGGGCTATAGCTGGGGAAAGCCAACGTACAAAGACGACGAGCACCGTAACGATGCACTTTTTTGATGGCTGCATGATCGGCTACATCGGGCCGTGGAGTCGTTGCGGTTGGACAAAGTGCGATACTGTTGTGCAGAACAATCAAGGCCTGCACACTAGACTTTTTGACGTGATCAAAGTGAGATCGAGCGAAAACACAAATTGAACTCAAGTGCTGCTGCGTTGGCGTTCGAACGGCCCTCGTCTCTATCCAATGCGTCGAACGACGCTCGGTTTCGGGGTCGGGCATAATTGCCGAGTGGGCACAATCCTACACTCCGTTCACCCTTAAGCCGAGACTGTATACAGTCAGTCAAAGTCAATGCCACAAGTACGACCATCTACAAGACAAGGCCGTACTGCTGACTTTTTTTTGTGTCATCAGAGAAGGCCAACGCTGGACACAGGTTGGAAACAAGTGCAGCGTCAGCGCTCGGCTTCGAGTCAAATTTGAGCCAAACGTTGACGCAATCGTCGTGTCCAATCTGTGTTCAGCGTTGGCCTTCGCTAGTGACGAGATCTCTATCGGCACTACGACTTTATTATCTAGAGGGCGTTACTGAGCCAATGCTACATGCGCGAGAGCTCGAGGTCGCTGCTTTCGAGCGCTCTTCCAGCGGCACTCGGGCTAGAATATGCACGCCTCAAAGCCAGAAGCGCCGGCTAGATCCCGCTTGTAGCTTTGGGCGCAGCCTCAGCTTAAGAGTGATCCGAGTATAGGGTGATGATCTCCCAGGTAACTGGGAGATTACTTGAACAGATAAACGCATGACTTTTCGTTATATTCGCGTCCGGGCGCAGAATGTTTTTGTATTGTCTTTTGTTTGATGGTTTATTATAGAACTGATTAAGAGAATAGGGGGGGGGGGGGGGGGGCTGGTATTCTGCAAGGTGTAATTATTGGCACATTAGCTTACTGAAAAAAGATGAGAGACTTTGGCAGGCGGTATTGCATTTATTTGGTCAATAGTTTGTATTGAAAAAATATCGTTTTCGTAGTGTTGTCCGCACTTCTCTCTACAGCTGATTTTAACAACACTGAGTCACTCGGCCTTGATATTATGCCCCGAGTATACGGCTGACCTTCTATTTAACTTGTAGTAGGATTTCCAGTGTTTGTTTTTAACGTAAAATACGTTTTTGGACATAAAACCTCCCCTCCCTGCTCCGCAAAACGGTAACGCGCAAAAAACATAGGTTCACGTGCCGCCACCAGTCTCGTCACCACTGTCCGCTAAATTTATAGGGTTCCTTTGACTCTACACTTAATGTACCTATATCACGTACAAGAATTTCGTCACGCACAATAAACATATATGCTGTCATGTTGATGGCAGGTTTAGAGTTTCATGTCGGCTGTACCTCGGGTATAAAATTCGAAAAATTCCGATTTCGAGAACCACTAAGTGAGCACGATTAAAGTTCGATCACATTTGAAGAGTCACGTGTACACAAAACCTCAACTGCTACAGTAGTGGTTTCGATGTATACGCAAATAGATCCTTCAGTCGAATTCATCAGTTATTGCATTGAGATATCTCATCCCTTAAAGGAGCTGTGCAACGATATTGCCACGCTCGTCGGCGAGCCACCGCGCGCGTGGCCGAGTGGTTACCGTGCTTGACTGTCGCGCAGAAAGTCTGAGTTCAATTCCAGTCAGTGGAATGCTCTTTTATTTGTTCTTTCATTGCGTTCTCGTGAGTTCGAGAACATTCTCGTCAGATCGAGTTCCGAATGTTCCAGTCGCCGAACAATCTAGGCCGATTGTTCCAGAACCCAACGCGCGTACATAAGGGACTCCGCGTGCTGATCTGCGGTCAGTTTCGCCCCAGCCTTCGACTTTGTTGCTACGCCGACTTCGACGCCTGCGACGCTCTGTTATTATCTTTTGTACCCTTTTATTTTTTTTTTTGGCACAAGTTCGCCACATTAAATGTTTATTTCTTCCTGTTAATTTCTTGTTTATTGGTCGCCACCCGTGACAATATTCAGTCGGAATGTTTTTCACTATACACGAGCTTACTGGCACTAGTGGGACTCAAGGATACTTGCACGCAACGCCACTGACCAAGAAACTCCTTTATTGCGGTAAAATTTCAAGGACAAAAGCAATTATTTTCGTTCAATCTCTCCTTTGCAAAATTTGATGACGTAACATGGGGATCGCAGAACACCCAAGTGACGATATTTGAATGCGGTTCATAGATTGGACCCGAGCCCTGCGTGGGCACTCGATTTGGGCTCGTGATAATTACTAGCTCGAGAAGCATTCGGGTAGTCGCCCGCGTCCAATCGCTGGAACGACGACAACAGCCGAGCCATAACAATGTCTGGAACTCAGCGCGTGTCCTGTGCTTTGCCAACCCCAGCGTGTGGCTATGATCAACATTGGCGGCATATAATCTGCTCCAGATCGCGTCGCCGCTTGTTCTGGCTGCGAGTTGAGGGGGTGAACGCTGCTCGTTTTTCTTTAATTTTTTTTCTGGGACTTCTATTGCATGAAGTGAAAAACGAACGCGTGTTTCATAGGTCATTAACGTCAGGGATCTGTTCTAAGCGGTATTTGCGCAAAGTACAAAAATTGTTGCACAGCTCCTTTAAGTCTTTGTGCCAGCTTATTTGTTTGCGTGTGTGTGTGTGTATTTAAACTTGGTTCCTTATCGAAGCGACATGAGCTGGGTGTCTCGCACGCACAGGTGCGGTCTAGCAGCGTGGCACTATCCCAGATGTTTAACCGCGAGTTGATCATCGGGTCCACTGCACTTCCAGCTGCCTTCAAGGTATGCCTTATTGCTTCACATTGAAGCTCTATTTGTGGTAGACTTCCCGCGTTAAAGAGATTCAATGAGCGCGAGTTACGTTCGCGACTTTAAAGGGGCACTGAAACCCCAAAGGTCGTATTTATTTTTATTGTCTAAAACGATGCAAGTTGCAGCCATAGACACGCAAAAAAAACCGCATCGCCAAAAAAATTTTCCCGCACGCACGCGCACCTTTTTATTTTTGGCGTTTGATTTTCCCGCCTCTCGCCTCCTCGCTTCTTTTGATCGGTGACGTCAAAAATCAGGAAATTTAGAAGCTTTGTAGGCGGCATCTTTATAACATTTAATGACGGCAATCCTAAAACATGTTTTTTAACGCAATTGCGAACGCACTACGGCCCTTCTTTTTGAAATACCAAAAATCGGGAGTTCGTTGTGGTGCCGTCTCCTGGATTTGTATCCTCCAACGGAAAACAGGCGACACCGCTCAAAACCGGTCCGCCGCAACGCCGGCGCTAGCCGGCGCTCGCTCCTTTCCTCCTCGCTTTGGGTCGCCATGGCAACAGCAGGGAGTGGTGACAGGAAAGGAGACTCTCAGGTCTCCGCAATTTTTGACGTCAAGGCACCGGCGCCGATCGCGCGGGAACTTCGAATTCGGCATTTGGAAATTGTTTTTTTACTTCACGAATACTGAATTCCCAAATTTCAAATTTTGAGGGTAATGTCCCGGCATCGTTTTCGACCGTTTCGGATAATAAAAAAAATATGATTTTGATGTGTCAGTGCCCCTTTAAGGCGTATAAGGGCATGCTGGTGCCTAGACAAACAGGGGAACGCCCTATTAACGAATTTAACGGGGGCATGTGGAAAGACTCGTGTTCCATCTGTTATAAACTTTATCTCTTCTTGGGCAACGAATAATTACAGTTAGATTTAGTAATAAGACAAAACAGTTTCTTTAATGTCGTTGTGGTGATTATACAATTTAGGAGGCCTGATACAGGAAAACAAGGAGAGACACTCTCAGGGGCCGCTTGCCACCCGCTTGCTCGCACACCACCTAACACCACACTCGTCTCTCCCCGAACCTCGTGGCCTCGCCGTCTGTAACTTGGTCCTCTAGGTTTCCTTCCTTTGGGTGGATGCTGGGGCTCATCTCTCACACCTGAAGCTGACCCAGGCCTTGGCTCTCAAACTCGCTGGTTCGCGAACACGTAAACCAAAGATCCCATGTCCTATCGCAGAAATAATTATGGCACCAGGATCTCGGCGACTCGGAGTCTTGAGGAAACATTAGTGTAGGGCACGTAGAAAAACAAGGATGGTCTGGGGGGTTTTACTTACACTCACCACGGCCGGACTGGAAGCGCGCGCTCTCTTTCTCTTCTTACGGCCTTTGCAATTGGAGCAATCGCCAACTCCCGCCGCAGTTCGCGGGGGGCGCTGTCACCTCACCCCTGGACTACCCTTTGCCGTTTGCACAAAGCGCGTCTGACAGTGTATCTCAACGCTGTCGCAACTTGCGGCCGAGATTTTTATAGCCTTTGACGCCTGATCCTTGCGTTTAGACCCTCAGCCACTATCTAATGAGCTTCTGATGAGCCCAAAACGGTGAATATTTGACGCACATCTCCGAGATATTCGGGAGTAAAAAGTAGTAAGTAGAGACAGCGAATGCGATTGCGGAAAACTATACTCGTCTTTACCTCCAGGACTTCTGTTGAAACTAAAGAAGAGGAGGAGACGGACCCCTTCTACGTGAAGTAACTTTAAATGATAAATAATTTGTGCACTCTCGTGGAATGTAAGCAAGCCCAATCTATCTATCGCCGTGGTCTGCATCATCATTTCATAGGCCGCACATGAAGTCGGTCAGCTGCTCTAGACGAGGGTGTAGTAGTCTGTACAATTTTCGCACAGTGCACATTACAGCCTAATGTGCTTCCTCGAGGGCTTGTGCACCATACCCAGCAAATTTTTTGTTTCTGTACCTCACCGTCTTTGCATGGTTAATCAGAAGTGTTCTGAGGAACCGTTGCCAAAACAGCAACCTACGAAGCTCGAACACCAGCGCAAAGCAGCTCGAAGGGGCTCTCCGAGTGGGGTGAAGTGGGGTGAGATGGTTGCGCCCCTGGCGACAAGCAAGTGAACTACGTACGGAGAAAAAACGCCATTGACTCTCGGGCGATTGCTAGGCCGTAAAAAGGGAAAGAGAGCGCGCGCTTCCAGTCCGGCCGTGCACTCACATACCACACACAAGACATAAACAAGAGGAAAGAACAGCGCCGTATATTCTAATTTCTGACACATCGGTACCTCAAATTTGTCCCAATCAGCTTACGTAACGCCGGGCATGGTTCATTATATAGATCTTCACGGTTTGTCGTGTTATGTTATTCGGCGTTCTTATCGACAAACGCCGTACTCTCCTTGGCTGTTCAGGGATAAAAGACGCTAAGAACTCGCCATGCTCCGCGTTCCTTAAAGGCTGGCCTGCGTAATCGTCTTCTGCCTGGCAGAATACCGGTTCCCAATTTTCTTCTTTTTTTTTTTTTTTTTCACGCGCTCTTGCATCCTTTTTTCCTCCTCTCCCCACAGGTGCGGGTCTCGGAGCCACTGCCCACAGAAAGGAGGAGAATGTCCCTGTTTCTTGAATGGAAAGAAGCAATTGAGGGAGAGTTTCCTCCTTTCTGGCTGATCGTCGGCCAGCGGCTTTTGAAGCAATTTGGAACCATCTCGGCAGCATCCAGAAATCGATCGATCGCATTTTACAGGGGGTAGTTTGATCAAATCGTGTTTTCCTAGAACAAGATTACTAAATCCCGGATCACACTGCTCATACATCACACAAAAAGGCAGTTTGCAAACACGACTTACCTCATTATCTGTTGCTCGAATGCCGCGTGCCAAGTTTTTTACATGAACTCATTGCCATGCGCGGCATTCGAAGCACGGATCTCGCGGTGACTCGCCTTCGAATCTGTATACCCCGGCTTAACGGGAAGGTCACGCTGTCACTTCAAAGCACTCTCTGAAGCACATACGCACCCGGAGAGGTATCGGGAATGCAAACACAGTGAGCTCAATCTTCCGATATCGGCCTCATTATTAAATGTGCAAAAATATTTTTTTTTTTAATTTTTTAATTTTTGAAGTTTGATTGTAATTCAGATGGGTGTACTGATCTTAAAGGGGCGTCAGATTAACATAACGTGAATTGGGGGTGGTATTGGAACAAAATAAAGCTAAAATCATAGATGGGTAATTTTGACTATTGTTGGGCCACCGGCAACCATGCAGCGGCGGCAGCTGCGATTAGGCTCAACTTAACTGAGCTGATGCTGTACGCGAGTTTTCTTCTAGCAGTAAATATTACAACATTAAGTCTAATATCACATTATTTATTTTGACGAACTTTACACCTGTGAGAGAAGCCTAATTCCTTTTTAAAGTACTGAAACGTGTATCGAATTATTTCGAACGTTGACTGGAGGTGACAATAGCACGCGAGGAACGTATCAGTGCAGAACGTCTAAAATAATTTTTCCTCGGCCACAATGTTTCTTATTAGGAAGATACTGAGCTATGTATTGGTAGAAAACCTTATGCTACTCATCCTGAAGGCGGGCGAAAATAATTTCATAATTTGATAGTTTAAATGCACAAATTTTGTTAAATGCTACTACTCCTAGCGATCGAGCATGCCAGGAAAAGTTCGTTGCTATCCGCAGACTCTACTCAATCGGTTTGTGATTTGTTTTGCTGTTCGCAGGCTTTTCGCACTTTCATGGCGCGCTACGAAGGCGAATCTGAATTCAGCGCGCTACCAAGGGTCCGCTTCACGCAGAACCAGTTATTTTTTCTATATTTTGCCAAAGTACGTAACATACTCGTTCGATATAAAAAAGTTTTAAAATACAAATATCACTGCCATAACGTTCCTCGATGATTGCAGAGCTGGTGTCACACCAAGAGGAAGACCTACGAATCTTACTACATTGAGGACTCCAATGAGCCACCACCCGACCTAAGGTGAAAATATTGTTTATGTGTAAACATGTGCCCATCAAAAAGTTAAAATATCGTTTTAACTCCAGGGATTATTTTCATCATTCTTGTCCAGCTCGCTTGCACCTTTGCAATTAATTGCATTCTAATTAAAATATCGTACCGGTAAAACGAACAACCACAAACGAAGAAATAACAAAACTAAAAAAAAACACAGAAAGAAATATTTTTATAGTCTTCCCGTTATTATATGAAAGACTTCCCACGATAATTAACAAATGTTGAGCGAGACTAGGTGGCTCTGTTCGCTAGCTAAAGTGCACGAAGTCATTAGCACCCAGAGGTTTTATTGAATTGCTACATAAGGTGGTTCTATAATAAAAAAAAATATATCGAAATAAAACAAAAATGGTTCCACAATAAAAATAAATTTGCACAGGTTAGATAGTTTGCTTCGTGCTTATTGTTCTTTGTTTGCTTTAAACTTTTAAAAAGCAGGAACATCGCGACGTTGGTGCAGTCAGTGCATCTCACACGCATTCGAGTCAATTGTTAGATACAGAATATGTCGAATACTGCTTTTAGCAGTTCTTCTGCAAGCGAGATAAGACCAATTGCTACTTGTGAAATGTGCCTGCAATATAGCCCAGCAAAACGTTTCATAGAAAATAAATATGTTGCATCAAAGAACTAAAAAGTGGTGTCTTATGTTTTGGTAGAGCCTGCGCCAATGAATGATTACGTTTACTGTTATTTGTTTTTTTTCAGAGTCAACCATATTTTGATGGATTTCGAGAAGTTTGGAAAAACATTTGAGTGCCAACTGGGAACCGTTATGACGCCGCATTTCAAGTGTGGCAGCTGGTAGAAGTGCTTATTGACAAGCCAGTTTCACGCCAGGAAAGATATAAACGCCGAAAGACTCTGAACACACTGCCTTGATACGACCAAAGTTATGAAAATAATGCTTTGAATTTAGCGAGGCTGCTCTATATTGCACTAGTTGTGCGTAAATCTGCCATAGCGTTGTGTAGCTTCAGGCTTCGTCTAGTTTGGTGGTATATCTAAAATATTAATTATATTAAAAGTAACAGTTGTATTATTAGAAGTCTCAAAGTTTTCCAAAGGTGCAGCAATGAGAATGATCCCTGCTTATCAACGTTTTTTTTATTTTTTTTATTTTATGGATTTATATTTATTACGAATTGTAAATAGTAAAAGAGCTTCAGTGCGTCGACATGTCGGAAAACATATAACCTCTAATAAAGCATTTCACAAGCAACGTCTGCATTTTATGCCCTAAAATGTCCTCACAGACAAATTTCGCCAGATTCGGTGAGGCGTGTTGTAATTTGCTCGAAAGGGTCGAATGTTCTTGTAATCGGCTATTATAAAAGTTTCTGCCATGCTATCGATCGCAGATGGCGAAACGCAGATCACGAAAGCATTCTAGAAAGATTAACGCATGCCTGCTATCAAGGTTATTTTACAGCGGAGCTGTTAAGGGCTAGGTTCCTCAGGATCGTGTCCGGCAAAAACCAGTTTTGAGGGTGTGCAAAGGGCCTCGAGGGTGTGCCTATGTGCGCCAAACCTTGCCAACATTGACATACTGGCAAAAGATCGCACAAGGGTTGCTCGAGAAATTCTCGAGGCCCTTGCTATTGACGCGAAGGGGGACCATTGCGTGAGTGCACCGTCAATCGCGCTGCACCAGAAGGAATTGGTATACCTGCGAAGAGCCGCACACTTGACAGGCATATGAAAGAAGAGGAAGAGCGGGAGACGAAGGTTCAGATATAGAAGAAGAGGAAGAATCCGTTTAGCTGTAGACTATAGAGAAAGAGGATTTCATTAAAAATAGTTGCTAGTCCAGCGGTGTGTCTGCCTTTTTTGTTTGTCTCTCTGTGTGTGTCCGTAAAACGTTCAGCTGGCGCTTTAACAATCATGAACCAACTAGCTCAGCTTCAAGCCGTCAGAAGAATGGATAGTTGGGCCCATTCACTGATATCTATGACAATAGACCGATCTCACCAGCTAGTTTGAGTACGCCACCGCTGCCGATATGCATCGTGGGAGCTGTAGTCTTTCTGCTGGAGGTCTGGAGGTCCTCCAGCAGTGCGGTGCGGGGAAGCGCGATCTCTCGCGCAGACCTCCCTGCTGGAGGTCTGCGCGAGCAGACCACGAGGCAGTATGAGCTATCTCGTGAACTGGCGTCTGCCTCCTACGAACTACAGTTACGGCGGCGTCACGCATGCGTGGAACGCTTGGTGGGATCGGTCTATTGCTGGATCGCGCTTCCCCGCTTCGAGCCCATTGCGCGATTGAGGCCACCGGTCGGCCATCTTACGAGGTCCGCTAAAGCGTTGTCAAGGCGGCGGTCACGTGACCTTTGCCTCTGTTTTCATGTGACCTACACACGGTAACCATGGTAACTGTCTAGGCTCGACAGCGCTAGAGAATATCTCGTAAGATGGCCGACGGTGGCTTCATTTGCGGTGCGGGGAAGCGCGATCCAGCAATTGTCATGGAGATCAGTGGGCGCGTTGGTGGGAATTCATCGTAAAAAACAGAGTGCGAAAAACAGACGACGACAAAGAAGAAGCACACGTAATGAGCTCAGCGCTTGTCACGTGTGTTTCTTCATCCTCGTCTGTTTTGCGCGCTGTTTCCTACGCTCTTAACAGTTTCGGTTTGGACTTAGGATGGGTCGGCCGCGCGCCCTTTCGGGAAAAGAAGACTGGCTGCGGAAGGAGCGGCGACGTACGCAGCAGCGCGAATGGGTCCGCCGCAAAGCCGCTGTCTCACTTCGACTTCCACCGCGTTGAGCGCTTCAGATTTCCTTGCCAAAGAGCACATCGCTCGCCTGGAAAGCCTCCGCCGAGAACAGAACCAGCGATGTAAAGGGCGCCAGTGGGCCAACGCCACGGACGACGATCGTGCCACGGAAGCAAAGCGTAAGCGCGAGGCCCGGCGACGACTGCACTCCAAGCCTGCTGAACAGTTTCCGGGAGCGACGGCGAGGTTCTGGAGGGCCGTTTGGCGTCTCGTGCGCCGTGTGCGACCGACCCTGGTTCTCCGGAGACGTAAGCGCGAAACACATGTACGACGAAACCTTCCGATCCGACGTACGCATTGCCGGAATGACCTTGGGGGGCAAGGGTTTTCGAAGCATCGGAGAGCGTTGAAAGCCCTCGCCTCCGACCGTCGTATTATCCACGATCGGCGGCGTGTCGGACGAGAAGAAACGGGAAACGGGCGCGTGCGCGTTGCGGCATGCACACAGCTCCGCTGGTCTTCCTTCTTCACGAGAGTGGAGAGGCCGAACGCTCTTTTAAAATATGCCACATCATTTCGTGAAGGATTACCGCTCCCCCATTAGGCGGTAAAACCTGGGCCGGCTTGCTAGAAACAGCGTCTCAGCTGAGACTAGGGGAAAGAAAGCACAGCCAAAAGCGCATGAGCTGAGCGGAACCCAAACCGCGTCTGAAGACGCGCGCGCGCCCCAGCCCTTGCAGTGCTGTTTTTCACCCAGTCTCAGCTAAAACGCAGTTTTCTTTTTTTTTATAGCAAGCCGGTTTTGTGGGGGTGCGCATTATTTATGAAACAAGGGATTAAAATGACGGTACAGGGCGTAAAACCACTACATCTTGATCGTTATGCCGGACGCCTCGTCAGGGAAGGAGAGCGGCTCAGATATGTCTCATAAATTCATATCTAGAGACACTGCATAGCGCGAACGAGAGCCACGAGACGGGCAGCGTTGTATATCCTATGTCGCTTTACTCAGCAACAGGAAAGCGCATGCTTCGCACGCGACGCCTCTGTTCCATGGTACTTGTTCAATCTCGCACTTGGCATGGAGAACATTCCTAGCTGTATTTCATTGTCGAGAAGACAATTTCGGTTTGGTGAAATATATATTTAAATGTTGCAGAACGTGTGTGGTCAGCATCAATACTACCACATTTATATCTAATGTGTCATCAGCACGAGTCATTCTTAAAGCGTTTGCTTCCATAGAGGGACAGCAACATGATAGGCCGTTCCAACTAAAGCCGCAACATCCTGGGAAAGTAGCACCATTGCTTTTCTCGCCTGCTAGCACGATACAAACAGATAACATACAGACGACCAAAACATTGTAAGGCAATTGGCTGATCGGTCCCTGTTGCCATGGCAAGAGCCATTTTGGTTTTTTTTCAAACCTTCGAAAGGGTCGTTCGGAAGCCGTCGTGCCAAGATTGTTATAGAGCGCTGTCGGATTGAAAGTGTTCCAAACCAATTTAAGGGTCCTTGGTACTGTGTATGCAATCAACCATATCAATCATACTTATCTGCACAGATTGCAATATTGTTTTCCCGCGGATTTCAAAAAAGGAAAATCATTTTAATGCCGGCAAGCACCGACGCCATATGTGGCAGTGCGGAGATGTGCGCTTTCTTCGCCGGTGAAATGAAAACAAAATCTGGGTATGCAAGAAATGTCTTCAATAAACAACTTGTCACCCCGAATTTCGAAAGACTACTTCCGAAAATCCATGCATGCAACTGGACCCTTTTGGCCACGGAGAGGAATGGCATGATTTTGATCTTGATTGCCCTGTTGATGAAGTAGTGCATCTCAATAGTGCACGAAAGTAAAGTCGGCGCTCACTTACACTGCACGTTTTCATCTTTGTGAGAGCCCGGTTAAAAGACGGACCTTCAGCGGCCTTAATGATCTGCCTAGACTTAGCCAGGAGTTGGAGTAAGGCCATGCCGCGTACCATACCTTTCTGGCAGCCTGGCTACAACTCCAGAGAGCAGCATGACACTCCCGGGTCACGAATAATTTAAGAAGCCGAAGACATTAAGACGATGAAAGAGGATAATAGGCCAAGTACACATTTTATTCTTCCTTTGTTTACCTGCGCGCAAACTCTGATGCGTCAGGAGCCCCCCAAGACGTGCCCCAGCATTCTATCCGTATTGGCAGGCCACACTATAGACGCTTTGCAGCAGCTGTGCATGGACGCCGCCATAACTGACCTTCAGTTTTTGCTTCCTCTTATTCCGTTTACTTCACTTCATTATTACCATAGCAGGCCAGGTTATTGCCATATTAGATTCAACTGTGTCCTTTTCTAAAGCATCGGCCTTTGTAGAGGGTCGTCAACTACCGTTTCAGTTGCTCGGCATCTCGGTAAGACAAGAGAAGGTCAGCAATGGCGGCTGTAATTTGGCGCGTGTGTAAAGCGTCTATAGTCAGATGCAACCTGAGAACAATCTTTTAGCTCCACCCACAAGCGCATTGCGCCCATCTGAAGTGTTTCCGCCGTCGAGAAAGTAGTTCGCTAGCAACGTTGCTTTTTCTCCCTCCAGGAAACGTGTCTTAAACTACTACATTATTTATTTAATTCATTCAGGACATTTAAATAAGTTAGAATACGTTTTTGTCAACGAAATAGCTGTTTAGTAAAGAAAGAAAGTCATGTCCAATGTACCGTCTTCCAAATTCATTTTCTGTCCAAGATACTGTCTTACATACCGTCTTCCAGCGCCTTCGATTGAGGGAAAGCCGCTGGGGAAAGCGAAGCACTTATAGTTCCTGCAAATAATAAATATTTAGTGATTTACTTAGTTTTGTGGGCTTTGCGCACGAAATGTGTGCCTTTATTTTGTTGGATGAACAGAAAACAAGAATAATTATACTTTTCGGGTTTTGACAAATCGGCACCCTCCCAAGTCATCGACACCCCCACCGCGCCCCGCTCTCTTTGTCTTCTGTCATGGATCCCACTGAGGTGACATCGGAAAGCGATTCCCCTGATTCTTCTTGGACGAAACAGCCTGGTGCAGCCTTACCGGCGACACCAAAGCGGCTCTTCAAGAAGCACAATCCAACGAAGCAGACGACGTCCGGCGTAGCTTCTCACCTTT